CACAGATAAAACAATTTACCACAACAGACCAGACATCACACTCATTGACAAACACAATAAAATCACATACATTATAGACATAGCCATTCCAAACACTCACAATGTACAAAACACATGCACTGAAAAAATTAGCAAGTACACAGAACTCGCCCAGGAAATAAGGCATCTGTGGAGGATGGATAGGGTGCTTATTGTACCTGTCATTCTCTCCTGTACAGGTGTGATACCACACACACTACACAAAAGCCTGGGAACATTACAATTGAGTAGAAATACATACATCACACTACAGAAGGCCACTATATTGAATACATGTCACATTGTTAGGAAATTTCTGAATACAGATACACACACTGACACACTTCTTTAATTTTAGTTTTGTTTTGGTTGCTATGCCTTGACTTTGGTCCGGCATAGTACACAGCCACCGGTGTGAACCGAGTATAACTCACAAAACAACAACAATAATAATTAAAAGTAACAAACACTGAAAACATCAATTTTTCTTAGAATTGTTCAAAATTATGCTGAAGTTCTCACTATTTTTTTATTAATTAATTTTTTTCTCATTTTCTGTTTTAAGTGCAGTCTTGGAATAAATTTTTTGTGTAATTGTTGTTTTTTAATAAGGAATTTTAATTTTAGTTTTATTAAATTATAAAAATTACTATATGTGTATTAATCTTGCATTAACAAGATTAATTCACATATAGTAATTTTTAATATATTTATGACATATCATATTACATTTTATAGTATCATATGTATTTATTATGTAACTTTATTCAATTTTGTTTGATATGTAATCAAATTTGATGATATATACATATATATCAATATGTAAAATATATTTTTTTTAAAGTTTTAAACTAAAGTTTATTGTGCTTTGTGTAGTAGATATAGCTTAATTATTGATGTATATATATTTTAATAATAATTTAGAAAAAGTAAATTACATAAAATTGTTTTGTGTATGTGATAGGATATCAAATATTAGAATAAACGTCATTCTAAATAAAAGTAGATACTTACAGGATGTAGAAACTATGACAGCTCATTTTGAAACTTTCATTCAGAAAGTAATGAAATTCCAAAGAATTTCTTAGAGGTAACTGGTCATTTAAACATAATGAAAACCAAATACTTTCTGGAGTACTTTCAATTTTTTAGTAACATACTTAGCTGAATTTTATGAAGAATTAAAAATTTTTTTATTAGTTTAATTTTTATGAAAATGTCAAAACATTTTATATAATATCTACAAAGTAAAATTCATTAAACATGATATAACAATTTTGGACTGAAAAATAACTGTAAACTGACAAATTAACAAATCTGTACATAGAACATTTTTAGAAAATGAAGAAGCTTAAAACTGAAATTAATAACTTAATTCACACTACAAGCTAATTAGAGAATAAATACATTATGTAAGAATTTTTGTTTTAAATATAAAAGAAGACATAATTATAAATTAAAATACTATTTTTTTAAAACTGAAAAGTATATTTTTTCTTCTAGTAATTTCTATTAATTAAAGAACATTTAAAGAATTTAATTTTAGATTTTTTTAAATTTAATTATTTACAGTAATATATCTGTTTTTTAAATCATTGTTTAAAAGATAAAGGTTATATTTTGTATAGAAATCATATAAATTTGTATAGTGATGATTTCATAATTGCTTTGATTTGATTAGATTTCTAATAGATAATTCCTTATCAACAAAATCAAAAATTTTTAATTGTGTGAAAGGTATTTACATCACAATTGATAAATTGATATGGATTTATCAAATTATTTGTTAGTTATTTAATTCAAATAGTTAGTTTTTTCTTATTTTAATTTATAAACGAAACATTTTTGTAAATTTAACAAAATATTTATATTTTTTCATATTATGTAAATAACTTTTATTTAACAGGAGAACCAATAGACTTGCTTAAAATACCCAAACTCCATCAGTAACATGTGATCTTAGCACTAGAATGAATGTTTTTGGTGTTCTTATGCCTCCATCTTTGGGTTCAGCAGTCATCCAATGTAGAACAAATTTTTTGTCAGACATATGATAATGTTCGTTCCATACATCATCATATGTCTAACAAAATTGAAATGAAGTAGAACTAGATTGTCTGATTGGTAGATAATTGGTTCACATCATTTTAATAAATGCAGTATTTTAATTAGTGTTCTTTCGTTTGTGATTTTCCATGTTCCACTTCGTGTGCTCATCAGCACTAATGTCAAATTGATATATCCCTAAACTGGTTAAAAATACATTTAACCAAACCTTCTGAAAGTTTTATTGCCAATAAAATTTTTTAAACTATTTTTTACTGTGTTCATTGTGATTTTACTTTGTTGAAAATGTTGCAAGTGATATATCAGTGACATATGTCCAAATTAGCAATGATCTGCCTATTATTTGTCAAAATACTTGTCAAATACAATTGTCAAATTAAATGTTTAGTATTGTTTAAACATTTAATAGGCTTACCAGATATGCATTAAAAAATTATTTTCTGGTAAGTGATTTAAGATCAGAAGTACAGTTTATCCTTCAACTTGAAAAAATTTGAACGTTCTGAACTAGACTATTATTAAAGTATTGAACTTTTTTGTTCTCCATAGTAATTCCCCATTTATTCTCTCCTTCTCTGTAAAGAAAGTTTGTAAAAATAATATAAATAGTTTAAAGTTATACTTGTAGTTAATATTTTCTTGTAATTCTAAGATATATTGTATTAAAGATTTGAATAATGTCCGATACTTGTAAAATATTGAATGAAATTGAAAGAATTTAATAGTGAAATTTTTATTCTGTTATTTTTCTTTCAACTCTGTTTCTATTAATAAATATACAACCAGAGTGAATTTGCATTTTTGGGGGTCCTAGGAGTAGCAAAGCTTTGGGCTCCTAAAAATAATAATCATCTCTGAAATTAATTTTATTTGACTTATTCACATCAGAATTTTTATAAATTCTATCTTACAATACCTGATCTGATGTAAAAGTTAATCCTAGATTATTGAGTTGAGAGACATGTTTTCAGTTTTTCATTAGGAACGTCAATGTTGATTAAAAATCCAAAATTCTAATTAATTTCCTTATAAGACTCAGTTCATTGTTCCAAATTTATATTAATGTTTTTCAAAATTTTCAGGAAAACATTATTTTTAAAGTTGGGACTTAACACTTTTTCATTTGATTGAAGTTCATATGGAATTCTTTTTTTAGTTCATTGTCTCTGTATTGTATAATTAGTATCAGGCAATAATTGTTTAGCTTCTGCTTTGATTGTGCCAAACTGATCATTCATACTCATTAGGAACTCACCAAGAGATGAATCCAAAGAATGTGCCTAACACAATTTTCAAATCTTGCAAGGACTTGGAAAGTGCAATTAATTCTTTCTAGTATTATGTTTGAAAAACTGTTTGCAATGAAAACTCAAACTCTTCCATTTTTAACAGTAAATTTTGTGCATTTGCTCTTGAGGTTTCATCAAAACTTTCATTCTCTACAATACTGCTTAAAGCATCCAACAAACTTCCATAATTACTTCCATCCTTGTTATTCTTACTAATCATTTTATTAAAGATTCAAGAAAGTTTCATCACAGATCATTCAAGAAATTATATTAGTCAAAATGAATTTAAATATAAAATTTACTTTGATTAAAATGATTTTTTATTATTGTTTAATTTTACAGTTATAACTTTAATACCGTATACACCATAGTTTAAATTTCATTTCATACTTCAGAAATATATGTGATAACAAATATTAGTAAAATTTAATACATATATATGTTATATAACATTAAAAAAAATATATTTTTTTAGATAGGTGAAAAGAGTTTATTTACAAAAGAACTTGAAATAGCTTTAGAGAATAGAGAAGTAGATTTTGTTGTTCATTCTTTGAAAGATCTACCGACTACTCTTCCTGAAGGAATGGTTATAGGAGCGGTTTGCAAGTAAGTAAAACTTATAAAATTTGATCACCAATATAAGATATTTATTTTGATTAATAATTTATATATAAAATTATTTTTGCAATTTGATATTCAATATTAATTTCTGGAAATTTTGTTTATATGAATTCTTATTTTGTGAAACATATTTTAACACTTTTTGAAGAGTTAATATTAATCAAAACACTCAACACTATAAAATATAGCACAAAATTTATTGATAAACAAATGTTTCAACTACATTTAGTGGTCATCATCATGTTCTGGAACATAAATCAGATGTTTTAAATTTGAGATTATGTAAATGCATATGCGTTGTAAATATGTTAAATTGATCTATTGTAATTAAGTTTTGACTATAGCAATAATTATTACCTTATTCCTGTGACAACAGATTGCAAAAGCCATGTCTCATTGGGTTGTAGGAAGTGTATGAGTGTGGACTACACACAAAAAAATTTTTTTTAATTTTTATCTGATACCAATAACACTTATTCCAAATCACTTTTATATTCATATTACATATCTTGGAAACACTCAGAATTCCAGCCATCTGATTAAGATGAGTCTATTGATAATATATTCCTTTCATTAGCCTTCTCAATCTTGAATCTATTCATGTTCAAAAACAGTAAAAATTCATTAACAGTTTAATTTCAGCATTTTGGACCTTGTCATAAAACAGCAACTATACTAGCTGAGTAACAAATATTTCTAAAAATCTCCAATTGATTTAAAAAATACAAAAATCCAGCAAAAAATAAAGAACCCCAAATTATAAAAAATTCCACACTGGTTCCAATAATTGGTCACATGTTAATGAGAGCAAGCCTCTTAAGGATTTTCTGTTGCCAAGACAGTAAAATTGTCATCACCAATGCTCCCTGTAAGCTATACACAGCCACAGTCATGACTGATTTCTATGGAGTTGCACATGGGCTTTTATTAATACTTACTGCATACACAGCTCACTGCAGGACATCTGCATACATTCATTCATTCACCATATACAGTGTGATTCAGGAGGAATCTGCAGTATTCCAGGAGATGATAGTATGAGTAATTCTAAGCAAAAAAGTTCACATGAACATGTTTCAGATTTGTCTGAAAATTTTTTACTCAGCTGCACTTCAGCACCATGCAGCTATACAAAAAAATTAGAAGAAACATGCAAATGGTTTTACAATATAGTCTGTGGACACAACATGAAATTTTGAAACAAAAATTTTATAGAACACTACATGGTCTAAACTGTTGCCATAGGAATATTCAGGTAAATAGGCATTTTAAGTTGTCATTTCATGCATTCATCCTCAACATGTGGCTAATGATACAATATATTTCTGGTTAAGGCTGATAACAGCCTTAACCAGAAATATATTAAATGTTAAATCATTTTAATTATTTGCTCACACTACAATAATTTATATGAAATTAAACTTATTCATCACAACCTTTTGCTACTACACTCAGATTTAGAAATTCTTCTGTTGTTTATTTTAAAAATATAATCTTAAAATAAATTCTAATAAAAATGTTAAGTTTTTCCCTTATTTGTAATCTCCATTGTCAGCATTTTTAGTTGATTTATACAATATGTTCAATCCATTTGCAATCTTGGGCTCATTTCTGATTATTACTTTTAATAATTTTTGTTGTGTGATAGTTAAAACAGTTGTCACTCACCAGACAATACGTGAAACTTTCACAGTGTCTTAACATGTAAATCTATTTTAATATTTTTACTTTTTTACAAATACTCAATCAGCTGTTGATTACTGTTTACTGATATGGTCTATGAAAGCTCTTTTATTATTAACAAAGTTAATTAGGAATTGTCTAAGATATGTCTATTAATAAATAAACTGCCATTTGTCGTGATCTAATAACATTTAGGGAATCAGTAATGGGTATCCCTTACTGATTTCCCAAAAGTTATGAGATCAAGACCAGGATTTTCAGACAAGACTATTGGAAGTACTTATAACTTGTTTTACTTTCACACTTTTCCTTACTGTCTGAATATCTCTTACAGATCTTTCTTTTATTGTGTTATCATCATTATGAATGGCATGTCTTGAGGACTCACTTTATTTTTTAAAATATAAATGACAGTGTAAGAGTCTTTAGAATATCAAAACACACCTTTATGTTGCTGAGATAATTTACTGAAAACAAACTAATGTTTTCATTAAATTATCTCTGCAACATAAGGTGTGTTTTGATATTCTAATAATTGTTTACTGAGTTAAATGTAAGTAAAAGAGTTTTTTATATTGCAAATAATTATTTTTACCATTTTTTATAATATAAAGAAATAGTATAAAAAAATAGTAAAAATAATTTATTGGTTTTTTTTACTTGTTTACTTTGTTTTGGCTTTGGAATTTTCTTTTTATTTCTGTTGAGGTGATCCTTGGGCATTTCCTCCTTGAAGTTAGATAAAATAAAGCTTAAATTGTTGGTATTTCTTACTTCAGTTATATGCTAGTTTTTTGTTCACGTTGATAATGAGAAAAAAACAGCTTACAAATAGCACTAAATAAATTACTATTAATTAAAAATATTCAAGTTATACATGTATTATTTTAACATGTTCATTTTTAATGTCATAAACAATAAGTTTTGAACTTTTCCTTATATGATTAAAATTTTTTGGCTTCTAGAAATAATTATAATTTGTGTGTAATTTCAGGAGAGAAGATCCAAGTGATGCTGTTATTTTACATGAAAAGCACAGTAATCATACATTGAGTTCGCTTCCTGCAGGAAGGTAATTAAATTTCTGCAAATAATCCTTTAATAAGTTTTAATAAATACAGTAAGGTCTTAATATAATATTAATACTTTTTTAATGTATATTATTATTTGCTAAACTGACCTTAAGATTGGTAAGGTCATTCTCCTGTGAGACACATGGATTAGATCCTCATTCTGTCTTTTACTTTCCCATCTCTGATATACTTTCCCTCTGTTATATATAACAATCAGTCAAAAAATGACTCCCTCAAAGATTTTTACATTTTTGGACTTGTGATCTTGAAACTTTGAGAAATGCAAAAAAATAGGGTTTTTTCTGTATGTGAGGGGCATGATTTTGTTCACCATCTTTGAAGCTTAATAACTCCTGAGCTTTTTGTCAAAGATTTCAGAAATTTTGCAGGAAGGTTTATGTGTCAGGGGTATTTGATGGTTAAAGATCAACAAGATGGGGAGATAAAAAGGGGTCGTAAGTCCTATCTCGAGTGGGGTCAAACTTAATGGTGATTTTACTCGTTATTAGCATTTACAATTTTTTATGAAACCCATCTCTACCCTCAAAATTAAGCTTTGTATCTATAAGCTAAGTATCTCTAACACTACATCTTTTCAGTTTTAAATTCAGAAAAACTATTTTTTCAGCTAAAGTTAACACTATTTTAAGCAATAATTATTTTTTTAATTAGCTTGCTTCTTAGTTGGATTGTTGATTGCCTTTTATTAAAGACTACTCATTTGCCTCAATTTGAGGTGGATGAGGTTGATTTCACTGAAAAGACAGTTGTATTTCTTGAGGTATGCGTGAAAGGACATAATGTAAAGACATTTATTGCTTCTTCTAATTTTCATGTTTTTATGTATTAATATTGTCTTGGCCATTGTATTTATTAAATAAAAATTTATTGTAGCATGAATGTATACATACTGTAACATATCAAAAATAAAGAAGCAATGTTTCTTTATTTTTGGCATGTTACAGTATATATATACTGCAGTTGATTTTTGTTTGATAAATTTGATAATTGCACAGTTTATTCATAGCATTAGGTCAATTGCAATCCAACCCAAAAGTAAAATAATACACCATTCAAAAAGTAATTATTGTTTAAAATAATGATAACTTTAGCTGAAAATAAATTTATTTTTCCTGAAAATCATTTTACATTTTCTATATTTGAAATTGAAAGTGTGTGTATCACCAATATACACTTTTTAATTCACATTATTTTTAATGTCATAATTCAAATGAATGTTTATATGTCACTCATAAGATCATTTTAATTGCAAAACTTCAATTAGAAAAATTGTTTCATTAGATATATGTATTTGCCAAAAAATGATATAGAAATTATGACCATGTGTGAATATTACCATAAAAAAATTACAATTTCAGATAAAATAACAGAAGTAAATGCCCTAATTAATGCAATAAAATGAAAATACTATATTGTAACTTCATTTACTTTAGTGCATGCACACTGCTCTCATGCTTATCAATGAGTTTCTTTTTTACCTCAGTTGTCACTCTTTCAAGATTTCTCTGAGGTTTCATAGTCTCAACATTCTTCTTAGGCACCATGGTGATGCCCAGGGATATTGTTTAAAAAATGGCGAGTGGAAAAAAGTTATACAAGGATGCTTTTGGAATGAGAGCAGAAGATGAACTGAGCACTGTTTGGTTCGTTCAGTGTGTGTCTCAAACTCATATCAACAATGTAATGACAATGATTATAAACAAGAAGTTAGTAATAAATATATATTTCAATTATTCAACACTAGTCAAGATTAATGTACAAGCAAAAAAAAAAAACAATCAATCAATAAAAGAAATTGTTTTTTCCAGCTTGGGGACTTACAATTAATTAAATCTCTACCTATGTCAAGTAAATTCAAAAGCAAGAAATATGCCTCTTATGAGGTAATCGCTTCACAAAAAAAAAATGCCAGACAATTTGGTTCAAAAGAATTGCTTTCGGGTGCTACACCACACCATTGAATGGGTGTGTCATCTTTTATCTGTTTCAAGTGTAATTCTGCCCTATCCTATTTACATATTGAAGCATTATGGGATCAATCACTTATGTAAATAAATATTTGTTTGTTTTAATTTTGAATTTAGTATATTTTGGGGTTTTTTGGAAGTTTCCATCCTTAAAACATAAAAACATCCCCAAAAAGAAAACAACTAAACATAATGCCTGAAACAAAAAAATAATGATTGACTTTGACTCCTTACAACAGTGTTACAATTATTGCATGTAACATGCAATGTGCATTTAGAAAAGTAATGGCTTTTAATTGTTTGGATTAATTTTCATTTTGGACTACAATCTGGCAACACACTGTCACATCATGCATATCTACAGTATATGGCTATCGTACATGGTACAGTATGGCAATCTTTGTGTTCAAGTTTCAAGAAACGTTTAAATTTTGCAAAATTTTTTTTTTGCAAAATTTAAACGCAAAATTTCCTCAAAAAAAGAAGAAAGCATTTGGATTACAAGTTGTTCAACCTCTGAAGCACTATTATTTATTTTTTATTTAAATTTTGTGGTTTTATAAGATGTAAAAGCATTTTATTCTTTCTTTTTCATTAATTAATGATATACAGAATTTATAAAATAATGCAGTTTAATTTTTAAAATATATTCGACATTATAATTTTATTTTTATTTGAATTTAATTGTAGCGTAATAGGAACCAGTTCGTTACGAAGAAGAGCCCAACTACAGTCTAGTTATCCACATTTGAAATTTAAAAGTGTTGTATCCTCACAATGATTTTAAATTATATTTTGATATACTTACTTATTAGAAGTAAAAATTTGAAGTTTAGGATTACATATAAATATGTAATAGTAAATATTATAATATAGTCCTTAATTAGTTTTTGTAGAGAGGTAATTTAAATACAAGATTACGTAAATTAGATGAAGAGCAATTGTATGATGGTTTAATTTTGGCTGTTGCCGGAATCAGTAGAATGGGTTTTTCTAATCGTATATCTCAGGTTTGTAAAATTTACTTGTATTTTATCTTATTATTGTAAAAAATTAAAACATTAAAAAATTTCCATTATGATTGATTTACTTTACAATGGATTTTTATTTAGTTAAAATCTTTGTTTATTGAAATTTTCATTGTAATTGATAAACTAATTTGAATTTCATTAAAGTCATTTCTATTTTATGAAATTTTCTTTTTTTCCCCAAATCTAATTTAAAAATAGTGAAGTGTTGAAAGTCTAAACTAATTGGGGCTGGACCTATCTGGATTTTTTGGCATTTTAAGTACCATAAATTCCAAATATGCTGCAATTCAAGTTTAGGAGTTCTATCTTTAAGTGAGCATTTCACAAGGAATTTAGGATTTCAAAGATTCAAAATATAATTTACAGAATTACTTGTATTCAAACAAAACATACACTAATCATAATTTTCAAATTAAAACAGTACAAAATCTGAATGAATGTTAGAACATCAATAATGAAGTTACCATTGAAAAGGTTAATTTCTATCTTTTGGTAGCAGAATCTGAATTTTTGATGCTTCATGGTATAAAGTTTATTACTTTTTTACAATTTTTTTTCAATAAATGAATGGAAAAAATAAAAGTAATTTTGATGTAGAATTTACCAAAATTATTGAAGAAATATATAAACTTTAATGGAAAATTCTTATTTATGTATTGAGAGATAGAAATTTTGAAATTTTTTAATTTTTATGATTGAATATGAACTAAATAAAAATCCATTGTGAAATAAATTACAAAGTTTATGATTGAATTTTAACTAAATAAAAATCCATTGTGAAATAAATCACTCTCTCACTTCTGTTTGATTCTTCTCTTTCAATCTCAGATCAAACTGAATATTATGTGAATAAAAATCCCAGAAAAACCTCTTAACAATACATTTATTAAAAGTAAGAATAGTCAAGATTTAGTTCTTTTCTGTGTATTCTTACTGAAAATACAGCCACTCCTCACTTAACAACAGAGTTCCATTTCTATGGCTGTCATTAACTGAATTGGTTGTTAAACAAGGAACTTAATATGGAAATAAGTTTAACAACTAAATGTGAATTTAATGTTAGGTATCTCCATTTTTAATGTTCTATGAGTCATGTAATGACTAACAAAATATAACAATAAATTCTTAATGTATAGATTCTTGACCACAAGGAATGCATGCACGCCGTTGGACAGGGAGCTTTGGCTGTAGAATGTCGAAAAGACGACATAAACACCTTACGGATGGCTTCCGTCTTGACGGATAGAGACACTGCTTTGCAGTGTATTGCCGAAAGGTCTTTAATGAAAAGTTTAGGAGGTGGCTGCAGTGTTCCAATAGCAGTTTATTCACAATTAGAAAATTGCAAAGTAAAGTACTTTTTAATTTTTTTATATAAAATATTAAAGTAAAATAAAATGAAATAATTTTAGACTTAATTTTTAATTTCTGGCTATAAATAAATGATTTATAATTTCTTTTCAGTTGAACCTTAAAGGTGGCGTGTTTAGTTTAAATGGATCAGATTCTCTTATTTGTGAAGAAGGATGTATTTTACAATACAAGAAAGAAGTAAGATTAAAAATTTCAATATTTCTCACTTTATGAACTTACTAATAAATTTTCGAGTTGGCCATTTTTGTTTGAATCCCATAGATAGATATATTTTGTGAAGTCACCATCTTAAAATCAGAGAGATTTTTTTTTTTCTGCTTGTTTGTTTCATAAGATCTTTGTACTCTGCTAGATTATAAATCCAGTCAGATTTTATGACAATTTGCCTTTCACATTAAAAATCCCTGTTACTAAACTAGGTTTGGTGATTTTCTAAATAGGATAAGCACAGGACTTGTCCTGATTTGATTTACAATGCAGAAAATAACAATTCAATACAGTTGAAGTTTACATAGGGATTGTACCTTCAGATTTCATTCTGAAAGAGGAACATTTATACTGTGTATTCAAAATATACCCTAACATGTGTTTCACCGGAAGTTTGACTTATTCCCTTTTGAATCTCACCAATTCAATTACTTCATACTGTATAAAAATAATAATTAAATCTGAAATTAAAAAAACTGAAATAAAAATTTCAGATTTTTTTCCAACAATTCTCACTGCTAATTTGCATTCTCCAAGGCTCAATTCTTAGCAATTTGTTTTTTATTGCATACATAAATAAATCACTCTGACTTATATCTTCTTTCTTCATTAATGTATGTCAATGAAGGAAGAGGATATAAGTGAGTGATCAGCTTATGCTGATGACATTAAAATTGCTAACCATTGGCAGACAATGCTACAAACTGACTTTATGCATGGACTTAAATACCAGAAGGATTTGAATGATTTAGATCATGCTCCTCCAATCATTCCTGGACAATTCTGGATGTGTGACTTGTTGACTGTTTTTTCCAGGATGGATGGGATTTCCATCATGATAATCAACATGTATGAGTGTATTTGATTTGCAAGGATACATACATACCCAATTTAGTTGAGAGTGCCTTCCAGAATATGAGTGGGCACAGACAATGCCAAGAAAACATTCCCCAGACCATAATGCTGTTGATACCACCAGATTGTGTTCTTCCAGCAATGGTAGCAGAATGAATGACCCCAAGGATATTTGGATTTGCTAAAACTCATAAAAGCAATAAAGCTTTAAGACCAGTGGTTGATAAAGGAAGCGCACCCACAATATTACTAGAAAGATGGGTACACAACTTCGTATGGCAATATGCTCCCAAGAATCAATACAGCATCAAACAACCTTTAGAACTTTTAAATAAAATAGCAATTATAAACTCGCAAGAAGTTAAGTATATGACACTGTTAGATTTCAAGGTGCTATACCTGTCTGTCAAACTGGAACCATGTTTTTGTCATCTAAGGGATCTCTTGTTTAGCAAGATCAAATCCCTAGAAAAGAAAAGAAAGCAGATTTTAGAGCTAGCGCATTTTACTACTTTTTCTTTGATATTTAACTTCAAAGGAGTCACTTACACGCAACAGAAAGGTGTAGCTATGGGCAGCCCGCTTGCAGGTACATTATGTGAGCTGATACTAAGAATGCTAGAAAATGCAGTTTTGCCAAAATACAAAACACAGATGCTAATGTACGCTCGATATGTCGATGACGTAGTTATATTTTGGAAAGTAAAACCCAACATACAGCACTTTGTAAAGGATATAAATGATAACAGATTTGGCCTAGAGATAGAATTTGAGCAGGAAAATGATAAGATGATACATTTTTTGGACCTATCTATACAGCTTGACAACCATGGAGATTTCTGTACTAAGGTATACAGAAAACCCACCTACAACCCGATATTTATTCCTTGGATCTCCCACGATCCCCCAGCATATAAACTCACAGCCTTCTGAGCGCTCATCAATAGTTCATCAAAAATTTCAGTGGCGAGTTGCTCAACAGTAGTGTAGGGGCTGACCAACAGGTCACATACCTCTCATATCAGTGACATTTGGTGCTCTGTAGTTTCCATGCTGTTTGATCAAACACATTGTAACACTACTCAGGACAGAACAGAAGAGCTGAATTATATATATAAACTAGCCAAGACGTACAGGATCAATATTAAGGCCCTTACTAGCCAAGTCAAGACACACGACAACGGAAGAAAGGTACCGAATACTGAGGGGTTTACAACTATGGAAAATAGGGCAATGAGTAATATTTTTATATGTATCAGAAATGCCACAAACAAAAGAATCATATATAAAAGGAACCATACCATCTACCAACTACTAAGGGCTGATAAAGATGAGGCGGACAAAAACACACTTCCTGGAGTGTATAAAATTCCCATTATGGACACATGGCGACAAAATAAGTTGATGTATATTGGAGCTACTGGAAGATCTATCAAGGACAGGATAGCAGAACACCAAAGAAACGTAAGAAATGAACAACCATGCACAGCTCTGGCCACTTAAGTTTTAGCCAACCTCAAGAGGTCAAAGCCAAATGGGACCAAGCAAAATTAATATAAGTAGTTCGGGACAACAAGCACTGCCATTATGCGGAAACATGGCATATTTGTAAAGCCAACCAGAAAGGTCTATCCATGAACTTTTGAGAATCAACTAAAGTGTCAGCGGCATGGCGTTCAAGCTTAATTTAAACCCCTATAAAGAAAAGAAACAGAAACAACAGAAAATGCATTTTTAAAAAACAGACAGCTTAAATGTTTTTTAACCATACTCTATGCCTTCGTTATGTTATATGTTATATTTCAAGCATTTAAATTTGTTTTTAGTGTTTTTAGTTATTTTCTCACTATGGTCATGATGTTATCTGCATCTTTTACTTTATTTTTATGTTTTAATATTAGCTATTGATAAAGATTGCACACAATTTTTCAATAGAATATCATTCAAAAATGTTCGAAAAGCCTGTTCGTGTTTGCAAATGTGCTAAATGTTCGACTTTTACTGTTTTTCTTGATAAAGGTCATTTAACATGACTGAAAACGTTAGAAGTGAATAAATTCAGCTGCACATTTACAAGGTGTTAGAGTAAGTTTTGTTTTATTGATTAATATGCAGTCTCTGACGAATTGTAGCAGAATGTTACTTCTCAAAGTTTCTCATCTGACACATAAATATCCATCCATTTGATGGAGCAGAAAGCATGACTCATCAGAAAAGGTAACCCTTTGCCATTCAGAAGAAATCCAATTCTGGTGTGCTGTGCAAGCTGAAGCCATTTCTGCCGATGCACCTTCATCAGCATGGGTGCAATGATCGTCTTTCTACTTCAGAGCTCTGCACACAGTAAGGTTTGCTGTATTGTTGTTTTAGACATATGTCTGGTAACCTCTTGGTTTATTTCAGTGGCGAGTTGCTCAACAGTAGTGTAGGGGCTGACCAACAGGTCAGTCCTCACATACCTTTCATATCATTGACATTTGGTGCTCTGTAGTTTCCATGCTGTTTGATCAATCATGGTACACTTTAACCACAGCAGCATGTGGACAGTTCAAACTGTGAATTTTCAGAAATACTACTACTCTTGGCCCAAAACCTGATGAATCACACATGTTGTCCATGACAATGATTGATATATTTTGCCTACATCTCACCTTATTTACATACCAAGCCAGCTCAATATACATGCCTTATTTCATTGGCTATCAAAAAATTAATCTTTACAAATTCTTAGCTTCATCCTAGATCTTGACTTTATGTTTGATTTGAAACTTGCCTTCAAACTGCATATTGATAATTTCCATACTTTGTAGAATGCCAATGCCCAAAACTTCAAAACCATTTCAAACAAGAACACATCATGTGCTATATTTTTTGCCAATATTTAGTCCTTAATTGACTATGTCTTACCTATATGGATATCAGCTTCTCCTTTATTAAATAAACCAATGATCGCCTGAAAGATTGGGCTAGAAATTTATTTTAGCAGTTTCATTGTTAAGTGTATTAAATATTTCTTTTTAGGAAATTATCACCCCCAACTTCAGGAGTGTTGGTGAATGGTAATCTCACTTAGGCCTGCCTGAGACATTTAAACATATCAACTATGTCAATCAAATATTCACTTACAAATACTTCTCTGGTTTGCTTCTATTTTGCATTATATTAATAAACATACCCCATCTGTTAATATAAGATTGCTCTTGTGTATTGCTGCTACTTTTTGCTATCTTAACATAACAATGAAATGCTTTATGATGATGGAAAAAATTAACTAATAGATTTGAAAATAAACTGTATGTGGGTAGGGATGACCTGATACCATAAAAGTATCAATGCTGGCTGGTACATGAGTAGTTTTAAAGTATCTGTATTGGTATTAAAGTATCGATACCTGTCAGTATTGGTATCAAGTATCGAAAGTGGAAATCATGCCTGCTGTCACTGTTCAATCTGTTGCGCCACCTTCCAGTTGTTTTTACTGCTGAGAAGATCTTTTTTGCACAGTGGATATGTTCCAAAGAACACTGTGCAAAAAAGTACAGTATATGCATCCTGTATAACTTTGATGGACGAAAAAATAAGCAATTTACAAAAGAAACATGAGCATTATTCTGACATAATTTATCATTAGCATTATTTGTATATAAATATAGAAAATACAAGGTAGCATAGAAAACATAAAATTGACACACTACATTCTCTGATGTACTGTACATATAGTACTGTATTGTACTTAAAAAACAAAAATTAACTATTGATTTTAACAATTTTAATAAATTTAAAAATTTTCAAATTGATATTGATTTTTTACTGGAAAAACAGTTTATCATTTAAAAAGATAACGCAGTCAACAAAAGAAAACTAATTATTTCAAAGTTATGTAAAATGGACCATGTAAAAAGAAGGATAGGTGTACTGTAATCATTACAATGAAGACCAAGTGGGACCCAGAACAGCAATTATTTTGTTGCTTACTGCAGGGAATTGACTTCTGAACCAGATAGCTGGGATTCAGTGTGTCCAGTCAGTACTGCAGTTTACACTCATATGAGGTCTTAGGTACACAAAAGAAGACCCAGATCTAGTCATGTTAATGGACTCTATGGGTACTACTATACACTGAATAGGGATGGATAAGAAATCGTTGATGACGAGGTAAACAATGTCTTTCCGTCAAAAGTTCTTTCCTGTATTTAAATTTTACAAATGTCAGTGCAAACAAGTATATACAAATTGTAGCTCATTTTAAACATCACAGATGGTCCTAGTTGATTAACAAACGAAAGGACTGCATAATATTTAAATAAATATTTATTTAGAAATAGCAGTCTGAACTATAAAAATATATAGATTCTGGAAATGAAATTTTACATAATATATTTGATTTTTGGTCATAAATTGAACTTATATGAAAAATATTAAACCAAAAATAGTGTAAAATTTCATTTCGACTGGATCTTGCCTGTCTGTGAAAAATTTAATAATACTGGATCCAATACCCAAGGAAAAGTATCAGTATCAGACCAGAAGTATCAAAGGAAAGTATATTGCTACTTTCCTTTGATACTTCTGGTGTGATATTGATATTGGCACTATTGGGACATCCCTATATATGGGATTTCATAAATTTAAATATGTAGGAAAAGTATCAATTTTTTTTAAACACAATAAATAACAAAACAGTTAATTTTATCTAAGATTTGTTCTATTAGAAGGTGACTATTTTTGCCCATGTGAGATTGTTTGTATTTTAAATAAATAATGGACACCTGAAAAGCTTTCAAAATAGATTTGTAAAGAATTCTCAAGCTTTGTATTGTGTTCTTGTTTTGCAGATCAAAAATGCATTTGGACTAGAAAATTCATGATTTCAAATGTTAAGTTACCAAGAATTGTTTAATGAAACAATATTTTGGGTGCCCAGTTGTGACACAATTTTAACTTTCAACTTAAAAAAACTGCTTTTCTAGTAAATTTTATTCTATTAAAAATTATATTTTCCTTTATCATGCCCATTCTTGAGAAAAAAAAAAGGTTTAAAAAGTAAGAACATATATAAAAAACTGCACCATAAATATATACATATATTTTTTTTTAAATCAATCCTTTAAGAAGTTTTTTTAAAAGATTAAAACTTTGAAGGTTAATACAGAAGACAACTGTTGTTTTTTATCTATAACCGCATTTTATCAGAGATAAAACTACTAATGATTACAACCGTTAGCTTTTATTACAATACAATGCATTTTGAGCAAAAAATTATTTAAGTTAATGGTGTTTCACGATTGTAAGTGCACACAACACCATTAACTTAAATAATGGGATGGAGATGACATATGGACAGAAGTGGTAGGGCAAAATAGCTCACAAACAGACAAATGGCTGTTAGAACGATGCCTCAAGGGTAGGACATCAATACAGTGGAGCGCTGTATGCAAAAGATATTAGTTTGCTATAAGATAAATCATTTGAATGCTGTAATTTGTAATAATTTTGTAACAACTGTGTGTTTCCCTATTGTAGTTATGTATTACCTGACATTACATGAAGAGGGGTGGAAATGCATTGTATTGTAATAAAAGCTAATGGTTGTAATCCTTAGTAGTTTTGTCTCTGATAAAATGTGGTTATAGATTAAAAGTTCAAAGGTTAATACAGAAGACAACTATATTTTTTTTTTTAAATCTTTTAAGAAGTTTTTTTAAAGGATTGATTTTTTAAAAAAGGTTAAGAACAGAATTTTTCAGGGGAGTTTAATCAATATTGATTAATTTGTATTTCAGATTACTGAAGAGAAACTTAAAGAACACTGCGGAATCATAAATCTAGGAATATCGGAGGAACTGTCACACCTGGCCGAACAGTTAGGCATCGCCCTGGCCGACAGACTTCTACGTCAGGGTGCCAGAAAGATTTTAGATGAAGCTCACCGACAAAACGAACTCTCCATCGAATAATTGAATCGAACATAATCTTTTTTCAACAAGTGACTGGCGGAAGATGCAGGAAACACTATATATAGTTTTCCCATATATATAGTGTTTTTTATATATACATCCATTATTTATTTCTGAAAAATACCATTACAGTTTTCAATAAAATACTGTAATGTTGTTACACATTCCAAGCTTGATTAATTTGTGATAGTTTTATTTAAAGATTTTTTAATATTTCTAATCACAAAAAGTACAAAAGTTAATGGCACCCTTGGGATTTATTTTGATATGCTCTCTGATGACAGTACCATGACTTATTATTAAATCAAAACATCATATTTGTTGCCTTCTTTTGTCATAAAATCAATGATTACTTCCTGCATCAATATTTTATAAAATATTTTGAATGAACTTAAGGAAAGTTGATAGTAAGGGATAAGCAAAAAAATTGCAAGATATTTTTTGAGATTGACAAAAATGTTGTTACAATTTGTCTCAAAATTTTATTATAGACTGTATGGAACAGAGTCTAATATTAAGTGTTGGAGTTATTTGAATAAAATGTTTGTAAATTTAGTAGTTTTAAAATGAAGTGCAATTGGAGACAAATTACTTTGTTTTGTCGACATGATTTTTAGATATATATTTTTAAAGGAATCAAATCAAAATTCCGTATTGCCTCTGCTGTATTATAGATCAAAATAGTAACAATTGCAGTAGTACTTACAGAAATGGTTCAGAAACAGTATTTTGATTCTTTCTCTTGTATTATCTAAAATGACTGTGAATTACATTTTGGAAATTTTCTTCTCCAAAATTCAAATTTTTGTTCTCTAATTTAGGGAAATTTCAATAAAAAATAAACAGTCAAGTGGATCTTTACAAATACAACTGTTACTGTTTAAAAATTATCTAGAATAATTTGATTTAAACCAATAATTGTTTTTATTGTGTATTGTAGTAATAGAAAATAAACCATAATTTGTTACACAAAATAGTTTTTGTTGCAGTTAAATTACCTACTTATTGTGAATAATCCCATAAAAAACTGGTGGAACTGGCTTGAAATGTAAAGCTTGGCAAAAACATCTAAATAAACTTATGAAAGTTGTGTGCTATATTCACATGTTAAATCTGGTTTCAGTAAAGATAACAGTTTCTTATGCCACATTACATAGATTACAGCTACAAGAAGTTTTGGATAAAGCAATTTCATCATACCTAACAATAAATCGGGTAAACAAACATTGTCCCAGGAAATGGCTTCAAGCTTTACTTTGCATCTTAAAGTTGTTGCACATAAAATAATTTGGGCAAGTACCTTTGTGCCTTAAAGTTCTTCACTAATATTGCTCAAAGTAAAGCTTGAAGCCTTTTTCAGTGACGATGNTATACAGTCGACCCCCCTATAAGATCATTGATTTTTCCGTTTTATCTGAATTACATGTTGTACGAGTCACTTAGATTTTACAAATATGTGAGCCATTCACAGTCCGGCACACGTATTTGTAAAATCTAAGTGACTCGTACAACATGTAATTCAGATAAAACGGAAAAATCAATGATCTTATAGGGGGGTCGACTGTATACAACATAAAATAGCAAAATACTTTATTTATACGACTAATATTAGAGTAATTTCATTGAGATTTAATGGAACATTTTTGCATATTTTTATTAACAGCTGTTTTTACTTAACATAAATATGTGATATAATTACAAGTTGTGAAATTTAACATATTATTCCTGATGTGAAATTGTATTCTTTGTTTTGGCGCTTATTTTAAAGTATTTTACATCACATTTCATTTGAATAAAATCAAGCCAAAATATCTGCAGATAAAATGCACATCAGGCATATTATGCATGCTTTTAAGTTTTGCAAAGAATATCACGCTATACAAACAGTAAAAATACTTGTAACTTGTATGGGGAAGATGCTTCTAAACTCTGACTGTGTCAAATGTGGTTTTGAAAGTTTCATTTGGGAAATTTTGAACTAAAGGATACAAAATGTATGGGCTCCCAAAAGCTGTTGAAGAGAAATTGTGGGAAGAAATTGTTAAAGATTGACAAATAACTACTTATCATATAGTAAAAAATAGTTAATATTANGTATTTAAACAAGACTTAACCACTCATAATTAGAAAATTGTTTGTTTTGTGAGCAATAAAATAATTAAAAAAATAATTTTTAATGATACAATAGCGACGATTATTATTTTAAAAAAAAATTGTTAGGCTTAACATCGATGAAAATTCAATGCGAAGTTGGTTAATAGTGATTGATATACTAATTACATGGGATATACTAATATACTATACTAATAATAATATTTTTTTCGGTTATCCGACCAACCGAGTCCCCAATTGAGTCAGATAATCAATGCTCTACTGTAATATCATTATGCAATTTCGTTTGAGTTTTGATAGTCTGATGTAAAAACTCATTTTATAGCAGTGAAATGAATGGACACAGCAAATCTCTTCATATTCATTACTAATAAACAAATTTCGTCCATTAGTGAGCAAATGAATAAAACCACTAAACTCTATAAACAAAATAAATCTACTTTTTCCATCAAAAAAGAGTGTTTCTGTGTGGTTTGTTCTCAACAGGAACTTTGTACTAATTCAAAAATATACAACTAATTGTGAGAACAGTAAGCAATTAAATACAAATTTATATTGATTAGCATTGGATAAAGATTCAATCTTTCAAAATTGTTCAATCAGTAGTAACCATTCCATTGCAGGACTTAACATAACTTATTTTCTGGAGAATAATAATCTTAACATTAAAAGGACAAATATCAAACCAGTTTGTGTTGTTGATAAATAAATCTTGCATTCATGAGAAGATTGCCAATTATTCTATTCATAATAATGTTACCAGTCGGAAAGTCCCAGGATTTCAAGATTAATATTTTAGACAGAATCCCAAGATCCAAATTTCAAATTTCAGAATTGTAATCCATACTACGAATTTATTTAAAATTAGCTCACAGACACACACACAATGATACTTAAAATTTTGTGGCATAGTAAACACTAGTATTGTATTTTATCCAAAGACACATGGCAAGTTTCCATCAAATTCCTTTATTAGTTGAGTCGATTTTGGAAATTTATTTGATGGAAAACTTGCCATGTGTCTTTGGAATAAAACACAATACTAGTGTTTACTACGCCACAATTATAAAACAGGACACGGTTTCAAAAAACAAATCAACTTAAAATTTTGTTTGGTTTTTATATTTGTTATAAATTGCAATAACTGAATAAAAAAATTACTTTATTGTTTTGTTTTATGTCATAGAACAGAACACACAAACATTAAATTTAATTATTATCTGAAAGTGATTGTTTATGCAAAAGTTTTCATTGTTTCATCACATACGACCCCTTCTATCACCCCACCGCTGGCCTTTAACCACCAAAATTTAATGGTATCAATGCCCCTTATACACAAGGTACCATGTCTTAATCTTTACGCCATCCTGAGATAATATACAAAATACATGCCAACATATATACATGCAGAATCTTCCTGCTTTTTTTTTTTTTTTTTAGGTTCAGATGATCTTAAAACGTGGCGATTTGCAAAATACTCAGTCAAATTTGACACAATTCCAACATTTTTCTTTGTTGTTTAGACATAACAAGGAAAGTAAAAATAAAGCATTTTAGATGAATAATGCGATTTATTTGTAAAATATAAACAATCATTCATCATTTCAGTTACAAGTTTCCTACAGTATAATTTTGACATACAACTCATTTCTGATTTATGGAAAGAATTGTATGTCTTAAATATTGCATTTGTCTGAGAACTTTTATTGAAACAAAGACTTTAATTATCAGTAAACTTACTGTACATAACAAAATTTCCAAATATTTGGTAAATTTATCTTCATTATAAGAAAAATGATATTTGTTTTCTGAAACCATGTTTTTTGGCTATTCCAATACTTATGCAAATTCTGACTGTCGTGAATGGTTGAAAATGCAAATTAGCATAAACAGCAACCAAGCTCAATATCGTGTGATGAACTGACAAGAAATAAAATATACTATAGTAGATTAAGAGAAGTTTCTCCGACTCTGTGATGTGCCAAAGTAGAAGTTTGAAAGAAGTCAGCCAAGTATATTCACCGACTTTGATAAGATGAAATATATTGTGTCTATTTAACAATGTACGTAGATTTTATAAAGTTGATGCAGTCAACTTATCCTTCTAGCTGGGAGAATACGAACTTGTGGTGTATAAGTGTCATTGCATACATTGTTTGTTTAATGTTGACTGATGAGGGGCTAAATGCCCAAAACATGAAGTACACTTATCAACTGAATAAAGATGGAAAAAAGCCAAGTGTTTAATTAATAACACAATCTTGTGTTCAACAGTCAAGAAAAATGATATATTATCTGTAAATAATATATCATTGAATGCTTAGATAAGTTTTGATTTAGTGTTATTGTTCACAATGAACAGTTTAGAAAAAACAAAATCTAAAATAATGTTATTTCTTTTAGATAAAAATTTAATGCAATATAAGAACATTTGATTTCAATAATCTGTTTATTTTTAATAAAAATATCTAAAAAGTGTACAAGATATTTAATTACTTTCCAATACCATAACTGATTTATTTGCAATGGCATTCAAAAATCTGACTAAATTTATTTTGTTGCTTCACATTTTTGATTTCAAATCATGTTTTTTAGAATAAAAACATGCCAGCATGTACTGAGAAATAAACTTTCTTTTAATCTTTTATTTGCAATATATCATCATAATATATATATATATAATATATATAAAAAGAAAGCTGTATGTATATACACACACGCACGAGAAATGAAAATCCAAATATGTTATAAATGATACGATTTGAAATTAATACCTCAGATTTCTTCCACTTATCATAATTAAATTCTTTAAATAACACAGGTGTAAAGAACTTTTATGTTATAATTGATAAACTGAAATGTTAACGAATTTAATAATGAATTTGGTTTCAAACAACTTCATACTTTTCAACTAAAAAGACAGTGTCCGTCGAATACTTGACGGGTTGATCACCTTCCAATGATATGACATCAACTACCTGTAACAGAAAATTGTTTATAATGAGTTAAATTTTTAATAAGATTGGATAATATTAAATAAATATTTATAAAAATATGCTATTTTTGTTTGCAAATCTAAAAACAGCCTATAAAAGTTAAAATTAATTAATTATTCCATTGAGCAGCTCCTCAAAATTATGTAAACTCTTTTTCATTTCAGTTTTCATACTAATCATATTTAATTCAAAATCAAAAACAATTCTAAAATCTTAGTTTATATTTCAATATTCATGGTACTATTGGTTGCTTTTGAAAATTTCTATTACTTTGCTTTAAGATACAGATACAAAATGTCTTAAAGCAAGCAGCTTGGATGATTATGATTTGAAAAATATTTTTGCACAATGTTCTGGTTTTATTTGCACAACAATAACAGCAAAGAAATCATCATCATCAGATTTTCAATTACTTATAGCAGGTTTTTAAAGAAAATATTTAATGAAATTTAATATGTTAAAAATAATGAAAAATAAAATTTTAATGTGAAATTTATAGCAATCGTATTATGGCACCGAACAGATTAAACGTACTGAATAAAGAGGAAAAACAACTGAATAAAGAGGAATATCAACTGAATAAAGAGGAAAAACACCAAGTGTTTAATTAATAACACAGTCTTGTGTTCAATAGTAAAAAAAATTAAACATACATTATAATGTGCCATATAACTGGAAATAAATAGACTGATAATGTATTTTAGCTTATACTATAAAAAATATTGTATAATATAACCCAGTTCTTTTTGTAATCAGACATTCAGATAAATTAAAATTTTAAAAATATATATATATATGGTTTGCTGTATATTAGTTAATATGACGATTTTAGTCTCTGTAATCCAATGCAGTCTTTACAAAATAAACTTAATTTGCCAATACGATTGCTGTGAGATTGGTCTACCAAGAATAATTTTGGATTACAGAGACTAAAATCGTCATATTAATATTAAAATTTTAATATAAAATTTACCTTTATGCTACAAAATGGAGTGTTTGAAATAAAGTTAACAGTAACAGGGAAGAAATCACCGGGTTTTCCATTAGCACTAAATTCCATAGAACCAGTTTTATTACTACTATCTACTACTGGCATTTTCCATTCCAGGACATTTTTCCTTGAATCATAATAATATTCTCCTTCACATTCTGTCACAATAGGCGAGCTTGAACCAGACCTGTTTTAGATTATTAGATTAAGAAATTTTAAACTAAAAATTTAAGAAAAATATAACAAAGATAAAATATATTATACAGCAATTTTTACATATATAAAAACACATGTTAATTTGCATATATAAAAAATGTACCAGGTGATGAAATGAAAACAAAATGTTGAAATAGCATAAGGAATCTGGCAATGCTGTGAGACAGCCATGCTTGTTGCACACTGAATCAAAGGGTCTCAGTGTCAGATTTACATCTCCAACTTCTTCATACTATTATTCAAAAGTTCTGCTTTCATTTAGTCATTTTCTTCATTATACATTACACAAAATTACTGCAAAATTTAATAGTGTTTACAACACTATTAAATTTTTTAGTACACTATTTAAAATTTTTTGTAACAAAATTTAATAGTGTTTATAAATTTTTTTTTTTCAACTAAATAAAGATGAGAAAACCCGCCAAGTGTCTTAATTTATAGCACTTTATTGTGTTAGAAGCATAAAGTGTTTATAAAGTTAGTGTTAGCACTAACTTTATAAATCAAAATAACTGAAAATTTAAGAAGCACATATTTAATACATTCATACTTATGTAATAGTGTGAAATGCATTTTAAGTTAATATAGGGACCTTGAATAAGTTCTCACTGTTTTCCAACAGATGGCGTTACCAGAACCGCGTGCCTGTATTTTTAGATGGTGACACATCTGTAAAGAAGTACAATAAGCGACCTTGAAATTCAGTATATGTCATTTCGCGGAAGTGTAAACAACTTATTTTTTCATAGTGTTAAACATGTCGAGTTTTGTGCCAAAAAAAAAGAGCATTTGCAGGGAATTTTATTGCACTATTTTATTCAAAAAAAATCTGCAGCTGAAGCACACAGAATTCTTGTTGAGACTTACAGCGACCATGCTCTGTCGGAAACAACATGCAGAGACTGGTTTAGACCAGTGTTTCTCAACCTCTAACGAATCGTCATCCCCTTTAATAAAACTGTTACGTAGTATCGCCCCCTTCACTTCAAAACTCTGATGCCGAGGGCCAAGGCTAACGCCAAATTTGTACTGCATTGAATAGACTAGTGACTAGTATAATGTTTTTTGTTTAATTATTGTATGATATAACAAATAAAATATCTAATTATTGTTAATATAATGTTTTACTATATTGCCCAGAAAATTGTTTTTCGCCCCCTGAACATGGAAAAACGCCCCCTGAACATGGAAAAACGCCCACATGGGGGCAATATTGCCCCTGTTCAGAAACACTGGTTTAAATGCTTCAAAAATAATGATTTTGATGTTGAAGATAAAGAACGCTCTGGTGCACCAAAAAAGTTTGAAGACGAGGAATTGGAGGCATTATTTCTTGAAGGCTCATGTCAAACACTAGTTGAACTTGCAGAATCATTAGGAGTTGATCACACAACAGTTTCAAAACGTTTGAAAGGATTAGGAATGATTGAAAAGCAAGGACATTGGGTGCCATACGAGTTGAAGCCGCGAGATGTCGAACGGTGTCTTTTCACATGCGAACAGCTGCTTCAATGGCAGAAAAGGAAAGGTTTTCTGCATCATATCATAACAGGCAATGAAAAACGGATACACTACAATAACCCTAAGTGTAGAAAATCGTGGGGTAAGCCCGACCATGCATCAACATTGTCAACAAAGCCAAATATACATGGTTCAAAGCTTCTGCTCTGCATTTGGTGGGATCAGATAGGAGTAGTTTATTATGAGCTGCTCAAACCAAACGAAACCATCACGGGAGATCACTATCAACTACAATTGACGTGTTTGAGCCAAGCATTAAAGGAAAAACGGCCGCTATATGAGCAGAGACACGACAAAGTGATTTTGCAACATGACAATGCTTGGCCACAAGTTGCACAACTGGTGAAAACCTACTTAACGCTTAAACGGGAAGTCCTACTCCACCCGCCATATTCACCAGACATTGCCCCTTCTGATTATCACTTGTTCTGATCGATGGCACATGGCCTGGCTGAGCAGCACTTCCATTCTTATGAAGATGCCAAAAAATGAGTTGATTCTTGGATAGCCTCAAAAGACGTGTTGTTTTTCCAACGTGGAATTCAAATGCTGCCAGAACGATGGGAGAAAGTAGTGACTAGCAATGGACAATACTTTCAGTGACATGTTTTTTATGAGTAAAGTGTTAATTTTCACAAAAAAAAAACAGCGAGAAGTTATTCAAGGTCCCTATATAATTTTAGTCAAGACTTCTTAATCATTAGATACTCACATAATTGGAATGGAAATTGTGACATCATTTAATTCTAAAAAGTCTTGTTCCAATTCATATTCAATATTCACATCACAGCCTCCACTTCCATTTTCAGATGGCCAACAATTAACTGAAAATTTATTTATAGAAATAAAAAACTTTGATCACATTTACAGAAATTATCAACAAATTTAAATGTTTATTTTTTAAAACCGCAATTTAGTGTAATAACCAACACTTGACACAACATTCGTTTATTTCAGTTTTTGTTGAAATAAACAAATGTCGTGTCAAGTGCTGGTTATTACACTAAATTGTGGTTTTAAAAAATAATTATAAAGACACAACACGGTTTTGAAATATGGAAGAAAATTAAACATATTTTTAGAAGTTTAGAAAATATATTTTAATAATACATTGAAAAAATTCATAAATTATATTTAAAACATAAAAATTATAGCTTTTTAAAAACAATTTCAACTTTCATAAATTTTTGAAATTTTAACCACTGAATATACTATTCTGTGCTAAAATTAATCATCAGTAGCAACAATTTATCATTCTGGCAATAACAAAACTTGTAAATAATGTTCCAAAACTCACTCTTATCATAAAGTCAAGAACTGGCAATTCCTGTTTTGTAAGTTACATTTATCATTTTATTTGAACAAAAAAGCATTTAATAAATATAATTTATGATCCATATTATTAGGAATATTTTTTATAATGAAATGTAATATCATTCTATCAATAATTTGGAAATAATATGTGGTTAATAAAAAATGAATTTATTTAATTAAGCACTATCACACTATAGTAATAAAATTATAAACTAGATCTTGAGTTCAAATTTAAATTGACTTGGTAAAATAAATTTTACGAGTTAATCTTCATTATTGTTAAATGTATCAATAATATGATTTTTTTAAAAGAAATTACAATTTTTTAAAAGAGAGTATGTAATATATATATTTTGAAAAATGGAAAAACAATAAATATGTTTCCTTATAACAATTTTAAAGTCTAATGTATCATTCTTGTGTGTTTAAATATAAGTAAATTTTATATACATGCAGAGCAGCAAGAGTAGAAAGTCATTTCAATATGAAACCTGACATGGATTTTCTTAAAAATATAAATCTTTAGTCTGCAATATTCTATTTTGAATTTTCTAGAAATACAGTTTAACTCATACTTAGAATACATTGTATCTAATGAAAATCTTTTTGTCAGAAGCAAAAATCTGTTCATACAAGAGTAAAGAATAATTATTATTCTATCATTTCCTTTTAATAATGCATGATATTTTACTTAAAAGTAAAATTACAATCAAATGAGTAAATATCAATTTTTGATTGAAATNACACAGCATTATTAATATGATTTTGGATGATACAGAACTTTAAAATTACTTTAAAAAATGAAAAATAATTATATCATTTAATTTCAAGATATTTTGTATACCTTAAAAATAATTAATTCTGTCCCGGGAAACAGTTCACTTTTATTTCAGAATCCCAGGACAAGCAAAAGATCGGTAAATGAGAAACCCTACTTGGTACCAGTATCCAGTACCTGAGTTGAAATGTTCCTCCAGGTCCTGTATAAACGATGTAACATTAAAATCAGACCCACCATTGAAACATATTGTTGGTAATGTATAGATAGTCCTGCACAAGGTGCTGGCTTGACACTGGCAGTGGAGATGGCACAGATTGAAAACTTGAGGCTGTGACTAGTATAGTTGCTAGGGGACTGTTGGGCACTTGTACTGAAGTAGCTCTCCACAATCACAAATTTCACTGGACTTGAGATCTGTCAAACTGACTTATGGTGGCACTCTGAGGATCATGTGCTATTTACTGCTGCAACTACACAAATTAGATGTCTGGATGGCTGAACAGTTAATGACAGTAGAACAGTATTCCTAATATAATACTCAATATGAAACTTTCCTATCTATTTTTTGGCTCTTTGAAAATAATAATCATAAAATACACACACATACACACATGCACAATATATAAAACATTTATTTTACTTGAAATTGGCATATAAGAATCATCCTGAGTTTGAAAACGCCACTTTAAAACACCAATATCAGCATTTAATGGAAATGGTTTGGTAGAATTTCTCAGTCCGATCTGCTGATGAGTTTTAAAAAGTTCCTTGTCAATGTTTGGATGGGTCTATAAAATATAATAAAAAACATTAAACAATTACTGAATTAAATAAAAATACAAACACAAACTAGAATAAATTATTTCAAATAAAACTGTTTCAACAATATTCAAAGCTTATTTTTTAAACATTTAAGCAAAAAGCAAGTGTGAATAATAGTCTATGCTGGAATTTCACCAGTTATAAGACATTAAATATACCTTATGCACTTTTCCAGTAACTAAATTTAACCAAAACAAACGTTTTCAGCCTGACTGATAAGCCTTCATCAGGTTACAGAATAAAATTTTAAATAGAGATGCTATTTTGGAATAAAATATTCTTTGTTAATAAAATGAATTACACTTCACACCTACATTCAACTATGTAAAATAAATACACTTAAGTGTTGTGGCGTTACTGTTTGCAACTATTTAGAGTATACAGGCGCTTGCTAGTAGTTTCAGTAGCCTAAAGTTACCATCTTCAGACAAATATCGAATACAAATATTTTTTCAAATGATTAGCTTTTGAACAGACTTATGAAAATAAGTGGTGCGAATGAATGGAATATGGAAATTGAATTTAAAATAAAAGATGTTCTAAAGTGTGGAAAGCATTATGAATGTTGTTATATCCCCAAATATATTAATATTAAATAAGCAATTGAATGAATGGTATGAACATGCAATAAAAGAGAAATTTGAATTATAAATTAAATTGCTTGAATAAAGTTATCCACAACTGTGGAATTTCAAGGGTTGGTGTTGCGTGGTGTTTAGCAGCACTGTAAAATAAATACACTTAACCACTCATCAGTGAGGGATGGATATATCCATCCAGGACGATCGTGTGGCAGTGGTGAGAGACAGATATATCCATTAAAACTGTTTACAAAATCTTTCTGAAACAGTAATTGAGAAAAAACACGCGAAAAAATACTTTAAAAATTTCCCATGTTTATTCTCCACTACTTTGGAGTACACCATACCTGACTATCCCACTGTTGAAAAGTTAAGTGTATTTATTTTACATAGTTGATCGTAGACATGAAGTGTAATTCATTTTATTATGGAAACTACTAAAAACACTTCTTCGTACTATTGAATACAAGAACTTTATGGTTAAAATTAAAACAAAAAGCTCAGCTTTGGTTCTTGCTAAAGTGTCGTAAAAAACATCTTATCCCCAAATACATCACTCTTAAGTACGACTCGTTTCCTACAGAAGTGCGAACCCTATTGCCTCGAATGGAAAGAAATCTTTTAGCGAAATTAATTAAGAGCAAATGCAAAGCCATAGCAGAAGAAGAAAAAAGTTGTACCTTGCCCAACTTGTCCTTGATAAACAGTGTGAAGCAACAATGTTATACCAACAACTGGATAAAATAAGAAACATAGCCAAGAAAAAGGCACATGAAACCAGGAAGAATTTGGACCCAAAAAAAAAAAATTCAATTGGTTACGAAAAATGTCTTGCTGAAAAAACACCAGAACTATGGAGGTTCTGTACTACAACTTCACAAGTATACAGGTACTGGAAAATATTCATCAAACGTTAACACATATCCACTCCTAGGCTTAATTACTCACAACTCATTCCTCCCACCATGGTGGACATAAAGAACAATGCAATTTAGAACTGTCTACAATAACCAGCATAACAACACAGCAACGTTCAAAAACCACGAAATCAAATAAGAAGATTACTCAAAAAGTAAAGACATTCCTTGCTTCCAATCATTTAAATCTACTAGTAGCAGATAAAGACAAAAGATTTGTGTTATGCAAAAACCAAGACTTCCTAACAAGAGCTAATGAATTATTTTACCAATCCAAATTAATCACACTAAAACAGGATCCAACCACCACAGTATTAAGAAAGACGTAAAGTTATAGCATTTCCAGGGAGTGTAACCTATAACAGGTTCTCTCAATCCACCAACCAACTTTGCATGCCCCAGATTATTCTCTGAGGCAAAGACACACAAACCCAATTGGCCTTTAAGACCTTTGGTCAACAAGCAGTTCCACCCTACATATTATTTAGAAATTGCACTAGTTAAAGAAATTACAGCTTTGGTTCCACATTCCGACTTTGTTACTACTTACTCAATGGATGCTAAATAAAGTATTTTAGCAAAATTATTAAAACCTCCCCACTAACTTGTACCATTCATACAAAGTCAATGTAATTTCTTTGTATCCATCAGTGCCTCATTTTGAACATCATGCTTGCAAATACTCTGCTGCTTAATCCTGGTTACACATCATCACATGTTTTACACTTGCACAAGGCTCTCTTTCTTATCACAGAAAATAATTATTTTCAATTTAATGGCAAAATATACAAACAAACTCAGGGAGTACCTATGGGTTTCCCACTATTGCCCATCTTGGCAGACCTCATTATGAGGAACGTAGTACATCGTACTTTGTCCATCCGCTATCCCATCATGTATTTACGCTATGTTGATGACATAATGCTTGCATGGGATAGCTCAACAGAAAAATTAGATTAATTTATTCAAATATTGGCTTGTTTATCCCTTGATCAATTTCACTACATAAGAAGAACAAAACACCAGTATCTCCTTCTTGGATCTATAAATATATAGATCACCTGATCTTATGTTCTCCGTACATCATAGAAACAACAAAGCACTGCCTATTATTCCCACTGCAGCCTTCCAACCTTCATACTTTGTGAATTCTGCTGTAACATCTCTCATTCAGAGAGCATACCTATTCCCTTCCACCCAAGCACTGGTCAATAAGGAATTGCAACGTATCACCAAAGCAATGCAAAATGCTGGTTATTCTCTGTCTAAATTTCACTTTCTCCAAAATTATGTCAAAGACAGGTTGTTTCTGCAGTCCTTTCTTAGTAACAAAGAGAAACTAAAAATAACACATCCTCCGATACCATAGGCACAATTTCACTAAAAATAGCACATCATTTTAGAAAGAATGATTTTATATTACCTGTAACCCTAAGAAGACTATTGTGCAATGACAGATATTCTTAATTTGAATCAAAAATCTGGTGTGTATCAAATCCGATACACACCAGATTTTTCATTCAAATTTAATGGGATTTCATTAAAACATGCAATCTCAGGAGAGGAAACAAGCTACATAAGGGCCATGGCTAGAATGCTAAGCTCTCGCATCCTAGAACATCAGGAGGACATTAGAAACAATAGACCATCAACCGAATTAGCTAAAAAAAATGCTTGACCAAAATTATCTACCTTTCTGGGTCCAAACCAAATTACTCAAATTGTGCAACAATCATAAATAATTGTTCATATGGGAGAACATATACATTGCTGCTATAACACTGTGCAACACCAATCCTTGAAATTCCACAATTGTGGATAACTTTATTCAAGCAATTTAATTTATAATTCAAATTTCTCTTTTATTGCATGTTCATACCATTCATTCAATTGCTTATTTAATATATTTGGGGATATAATAACATTCATAATGCTTTCCACACTTCAGAACATCTTTTATTTTACAAAATATTCTTTGATGAAAATTATGTCTTTTAATTAATTAAATTAAAATTAAATCATAATGGGTTTTGATTTTCAAAAATAACAAACATTATGTTATAAAATAAAATATACAGTGGAACCTTGGTATACGACCTTAATCCATTCCTGGTGTTTGGACTTATACCGAATAGGACATATACCAAACCAACCTTTCCCATAAGAAGTAATGTAAAAATGATTAATCCGTTCTCGTGTAAAAAAAATGGCTGGCTTTAAACACCTCGCTTTCCTGGCTAGTTCCTACTTGAATTTTTATGAGATTAGCACGTATCTTTTTAACTTTCTCTCAAATAATTGCTTCTGATACACTGTCTCTAGCACACTGTTTTTCAGTTATCCAAAGCAAAAGCAATTTCTCAACATGATTTAATGTCTTCGATCTCTGTTTAGAAATTGATTTAACCCCTTTCGCAATGTTAGCAGATTTAATAATGTCTTTTATTTTTCACGATTGTCAATATCATCGTTCTCAGAATACGGTATGCAACAGTTAAATCTCAAACACACATGCCACCTTCATAGTTCTCAACAATCTCTTTTTTCAGTTCCATTTTGATTCTAGTCATTTTTTAGTTTTCTGTTGCTTTTCATTTGCCTTTTTGCAATTCATGATTAATAAAACTAATAAAATTTTACATACAAATTAAAATCAGAAAAAATTTAACAAAGTTATAAACCATAGCACTGCGAATGTCTAGTACACCGATAGTGCTACTTGTTCATAGATGGCGCATATAATTCAATTAAGTCATATACCGAGCAAAATTTGTTTTGTCCAAACAGAACATATTCCGAATTGGACATATTCTAAAGCAGACGTATACCGAAGTACCACTGTAATTAAGTTTAAAAATAAAAATATAATAAAAGTAAAATGAAAATAAATGAAATAACCCTACAGGCTATAAAAACATCATGGTTATAGCATATCACATTGAAAAATGACTGCACAGCATCACACAGTCTTTATTAATGCATTATTCTCCTAATGTAAATTTAAAAATCTCTAATATCTCTGCAGTTCATAATTTGCATTCATTGAATATTTGTTTTATAAGTTGGGCACCATTGAAATCTGCTAACACCTTGGGTTCACTTACCTATGTCAGCTCAACCAGTAAGTCATTAGCACATAAAATTGGAGAAATAAACACAGTATCAACAAGAATAGTTTGATTAAACAAATAGCTTATCAAAACACATACATACATAAAAGACATCAGCCATATACAAGGTGTTTAGCCAGCAGAAAAGAGGGTAAGGGAAAGGGAGGGGAAGAAGGAGGGAGAGGAGATAGACAGTAGAGAAAGGTAGGATCCCTCTGAACAGCGTATGCATGGCTACTGTCTCCTCTATGTTTGATGTCGGTGTGCAGCTTTTAGGCTGCAAGGCCATAGTCCCCCAAAGGGTCTAAAAGAAAACCTGAATGTAGCTGAAAGAAAACACTCAATAATTGAGTGTCACCACAAATAGCTAAGTGTAGAAGTTAGTGCCTAGTTGCTGTTAGTAGGAATACTTATATCTACTTAATATTAATAAATCTGAAAGTGAGAATTTTAATACTATTAACAGCTAGACAGACAGTGCAAAAACAAATGAACACAATGACAAACTAGACAAGGCAAAAGGACCAACAGAAGACAAATGAGCAAGATCCCCCTTTTTTTTTTTTAACATTAACCTACCATAACCTAGGACCAGAGGCGGACTAAGGCTAAAGCGGGCCCTAGGCAACATTGTAATTCCGGGCCTATTTTTAAAATTAAAAAATTAAAAACCTAATTTTTGGGGCCCCAAAAATTACGGGCCCTAGGCACGTGCCTAGGTTGCCTAGGCCTTAGTCCGCCCCTGCCTAGGACTAACCTAACCAGACAATTAAAGCTAACAAACCCTAATCTAATTTAACCTAACCTATCCTAACCGGAAACCAACCTAAGAGTACCTAATCTAACTTACAACTAGGACTAGGACTTATTAAAACACAACTAAATGGGAAGGGCTTATCACATCATCCTGATATGATAAGTTTGCTGTGTTTTGATAAGCTATTTTTTTAATGTGTATTTGAGCTAAAAACATACTTAATTTAGTCAAAAATAATATGACTGGTAACCACTCTTGCCCAATATGCAAGCAAACCTGTGATGTCAGCAAATCTCAACAGTGCCCAACTTATAAAACAAATGTACAATGAACACAAACTACAAACTGCAAAGATATTAGAGATATTTAAATTTACATTAACAGAAGAATGCATTAATAGCAGAGACTATGTGACACTATCCTTCACATGGCAATGGTTATTCGATAACCCCTTAAAAAAAAGAGCATGTTGTAACCATGGTGTCTTCATAGCCAGTGGAGTTATTTCATTTATTTTCATTTTATTTTTATTTTAAAATAAAATACAATTAAGTTTGATGTTATAATTTTTTTGTTATATCAGAAAATCAAAAGTTGTTATGATTTAAAAGATGTAATTTCCATCAAAAAATATTTTAATCCAAAATAGCATCTCTATTTAAATTTCATTTGATAACCTGACAAGACTTATCAATCAGGCTGAAAATGTTTGTTTTGGTTAAATTTAATATCTAGAAAAGTATGTAAGGTGTGGTTAGGGTCTTCTTAAGAAGAAAAAACAATATTGCATAAAAGCCGATGTAAACAAATTATTCATTTGATAATTCATATTTTCTTTATATTACAAGATTTGAATCTAAAAAAATATAATATTTAGCTGTAATTAATCAAATATTAAATCTTGTGCTTTAAATTGTGACCTGTACTTATTTGAAATATCTTAATAAAAATACAAATTAAATCAAACACTGGTAAGAAACGTGTACACTCACTAAAGCATTGATTCACCACCATTTAAAAACCGATGTTTAATGTTATGTTCTATTTTTGAACATTTGTGCTTAACCTGATGAAGATAGCTGAAAGCTGTTGAAACATCTCAAGCAAATTATCAGTAAATCTTACACATTTCTTACTGAAATTTGGCTTGTGTTTCTGTTTATAATTATTGAGTTTTTTGTAGTGATTGTATAAAATATCTTAATATTGAATTATGGTAAAATATATATTTAGTACATTCTTATTGTTTGCTGTACACATTAGTTCTTATTTGTTAGTTACCTTAGTTAATTAGTGAATGTTACTAATTCAGAAAATTTGAAACAACTTTATTCAAAATCTATAAATCATTAAATGTAACTTAGAAATTAGTTTTACATAGATTTTTGCTAAGAAAACTTATGAAAAACTTCATTACAATTTTAATTATAATCATAAGCAAAAACTGTATTATGTTGTAATATAAGGGTTATATTGAAAGTTTTTCAGTAACCTTTCAGAAAAATCTGTAGTTCATAATAGGAATCAGTAAGATTCAATTGATTGAATGTTAACTTTAAACTTTAACTTTTTAAACACAAGAGTGGCCAAAATAATCTTAATCCATTCAAGACAAAATTGACCAAAGATAAAGTTGTTTGACTGGTTTTGCTTATTTCATATCCAGGTGCATAAGAATACAAAATATTCAGATTTTAAAGAGTTGAGAATAATTATAGAAAAATACTAGCTGCAAGATCCCGCTTTGCTGGGTTTTTATTTGTATGTAATATAGTTTTTTTTATATATACAAAAGACTGTTTTTCTAAGTAATCTAGAATCTAGCTGCAAGGACCCGCTTCGCTAAGCAAAAAGTAACGATAGTGAAGATTAAGATAATTACATTATAGCTAATCTTACCAGTTTTCACAGAATGCAAGAATTAGGTCCCCTGTTTCCAGACTAATTAGAGAATTTTTACGTTTAGTCAAACAAACAAATTTCAACGTTTCTGGAATGTTTTCAATCATTCTATAATCGAACCAATTCGAATTTTATGTTCAAATTTAATTTGAACAAATTCGAAAAAATCGAACAAAACATTCGAAATAGAAAGCCACTTTCAACCACTTTCAGCCTCATATCTCCCGCACCCTTATAGCTATCGAGACGCAACCACCCCTATGCACGAATGGAGACTTGGGGCTACCACCACATACAAACACCATTCACGTGCGATGTGTAGTTTTGGCGAAAAAGTGAAATATAGGGACATACATGTCCATTTTTATATATATATATATATATCAAGTTTTAGATAATATGAAACAAAATTATATTAAAAGCTGAAATTTTTACACTTATTTTTTTTAAAGCTACACACATTTGTAAAAAGAATGTACAATTTTATTTTGTGTAATTTACTTAATTTATATTTTCTGTCATATGTAGCTATAAGTATTTTTGGTTTGCTTTTATTATATTATTATTTTAGTACAATGTTTATATTTTATTGTCTTTTGCATTAATCAATTGATTTTTATTTTTAAAGGAATGTTACATTTATCATTGGGAGAGGTTTCTTGCCTTATTTTACTTTCACACAGCTGTTAATAAAGAATAAAATTATTTCATCATCATTTAGTTCTATCAAAAATTTTATTTTATATGATTTTTTGAAATAACTATTCAATATACATGATATTTTTTCTTATAAATTATATTTTAAAACTTACTTGAAACTGAGCTCCTTTATCATCTTTATTTTCCATTTGTATTTTTACTTTTCCATATTTTTCATCTGTAATGCGTAATGTTACTAATCCAAGGACTTCCATATTTTGCAATCCACCATCTCTTAAAGCTGTTAAAGTAATTTTTTCTTCAACATGTAAATGGACACTGAAATATTTTAAACACAAATGTTAATGAATATTGCATTATTCATGTATGTAATTCTTTTTTTTTTTTTGCATTAATTACAATAGACTTTTGCTTGATTATATTGGTAACTAGTAAGTCATTTTTTCCAGAAAACAGTTGTTTTAATCTTACTTAAATTTTACTGTATTAAGTATAAAATAATCATAAAATTTGCTTGCTAACATTGCAAATTCATAAAAATAAATAAATAAAACAAATGCATTTCTAAACTCATCATAAAACTTTTGGAAAACTATAATCAGAAGCTAGTTTTCTTCTCCTTAATCTTAATGTACTTTTTTTAATCATATTGTTAATTAGTAATAATTATGTAATGTTCATAACAATTTAAGAGAAATACAAGGGAGACCCTAAAAAAACCGAACTGAGAGTGTGCTGCCATTCGTAGACATAGTAGAGAGTTCTCCCGCTAGATGGGGTTAGTAGAGACCTTCATGAAACAGCTGTGCAGACGGCATCAGTTTGTAGATTTACATTTGAGTGTAATGTTGTTTCTCTTACTGTTATTTTGTTCCACCTGCGAAGTTCTGGGCATCCTTCAACATCTCAAAACGATGAAAACATTGAAAAACTCCACCAAAAAAGTTTTAAGACGTCTGCGAGAGGTTATGTGAAGGAAACGCCCAGAACTTTGGCAATCAATCAATCAATCAATCAATCAATCATTTTATTTTTACATGTAATATACATATATCCTGACCCGGCTGTGGCATTATCAGGAAAAACTATACAATAAGTTTAATTAATATTACAATATAAAATGTATAATACAGTATTAATTTATATATTATTTGTTATAACATAAGCTATACAGTTCAAGTTAGATATTGGTATATAATATTTCAATATATATATGTAATATATATAATACGTTATGAGATAATAGTAGAACCAATATTAATAATATTTACAATGTTTGTAACTGAATATATTCAAAAGATATGTTAACATACATGTTCAACATATATATTTAACAATCTTATATTTTAACGTAAAGTTGTGAATGAACACTCTCTTAAAAATAGTTATTATTTCTGGTTAAATATTAAAATTCCAACTACTTACATTAATAATATAAATTACTATATTTATAATACATAATTTCAATGCTACTAAAATTATTAATATGCAATTAGTCTGTACAGATTAGTATTCCAATACTTTAACTATACTTATAGATTTATTTTAAATTAATACCAGTTTCCAACTGTAGTATTCTTAATTAATAAAATACATGTTGAAAATCACTGAAGATAACGTAAAGAAGTTCATAACTACCAGTCGTTGGTAGCATTAATAGTTCTATATGTATCAATAATTCACACTAATCTCTGTCTTCAATTCTTATCTTCAATTTGTATTTCCATGTCCTCTGTGAGTAATAAAACGTATGTGGTCACTTATTGTCATATTAGTATTTTCAGTCCTCCCTGTGTTTGCATCATTTCTGCAGTTAGTGTTCAATGATCACTCTATAAAGTTCTTGTTTTCTGTCTGTAGTCTATTCACTTNCTGGTGAGTTTTTAACACAGTATGGCTCTTGAATTAACACGATGTCATAATTGTTTAAATTTTTACTTATAATTGAAGTGGCAGAAATGCTTCTGCCAATATTTATTTGCACAATATGTATACTATTATTGTTAATCAGAGCCATAATCGGTCCTAGATTCTATATACGATTTGATGCGTTGATGCAGAGGGCATATGCTATCTCTAGCGTTATGCATGACGTTATGTAATCCTTCGTGTTCACAGTTATAGCATACTGGTTCTTTTTCGTAATTTGGGCAGTCATTAAACGAATGGTCACCCGTACAATGGCTACAAATATATTGTGATTGTGGGCAATCTTTTGCCGAGTGGTTATAGCCACAACATTTATAGCATTGCAGGATTGGGCAGAAGTCCGCAATCCTGCAACGTGACCATTCGATGTTTATTTTGCCCATTTCCATTAATATCCTTCTCATATGTGGTGAAACTTGGAACACCCAATTTTTATATATTGCATTACGTTTACCTAATGTAAATTTGGCTCTGAATTGATCTAAAAATTCATTCTCTTGAAAATTCTCATAAAAACAAGGATTCTGCTGATAGATCAGTTTGGGCAGATCATTTTTATTTATATCTGATTGCACTGAAAATACTGTTATGTGAGGCCATCTCTTCTTTGGACGTCGAAAAACAAGCTCCGGTATTTGTTCTTCAATGGCTTTTTCTAAGGTAGCAGCATCTCTTTTCGATCCTACTTCAATTGCTATACCACCACGTATTTTCCTCATTTTCTCGATTCCAATGTGCATCTCCGATGGTCTCAATTTGATTTGCATTATTTTCCGTACTGTATCACTATTATTGTTTTCTCTTTCTTTATTGTATACAAGAATCACTTCTTGTTGTTTTACTTGTTTTAATTTAGGGCTACTATTTTTAACAATACTGCTGTATAAAGGTAAAGCAGTGGATTGCTGAGTTGCTCTATCCTCGATTCTGTTGAGTTTCTCAAGAACTGTATTTTGTATGTCTTTGTTAAATTCCATTTGTACAATGTTAGTGATGTTGTTTTCAATATCTTGTAATTTTTCAATAACAGCTTTTTGGTTATTAATTATGTTTGCCGCTGTATCTAGGCTGAACATGTTGTTATCTATTTTTTCTAGTTTTTCTAATATATATCTTTGTGAATCTAGCACTTTTTGTGGTTCTGTAAGTTTTTCTAGATCTTTTTTATTAGCCATTAAATTCAATTTCTGTTCTAGAACTTCAGGAAGTTCTGTGCTGGATATGGCGTCTTCTGCTAAGCCAATTACTTTTTGAAATTGATCTAAAATGAACTGCATATGTTTAGGGGTTTCGAGTCTACCTTTCGGGTTAATGAGTGCGTAATCTTTTATTTCTTTGAGTATGTTATCCTCACTGCTTCGAAAAATATCTAAGGTTGTAGATCCCATTGTGTAATAATTAAAATATTTCACAAATATAACACAAATACCAATATTATATATATAAATTTCAATAGTAATACCTCAAAATACTAAAAATAGATAAATATATAAATAATAAATCTATGTATTTATACATATAATAATAATATTAACTAATAATCTGTGCCTTAGTAAGTGAGATGCAGTAGAAGTTGAAATTCGAACTTAAAACTAAATTGGCCATAATTTAAAAACTATTATAGTTATCTTAACCAAATTTTCACAAAAGTTCACAAATAATGTTCCAAAAGAACCACCCAAAGGAAATTCTGATCAAAGAAGCCGGATGCGAGAAAGTGACGTTCCATTACGAACCGGAAGTAGGTCGATAATTCACAGAAAAATGTTCCGATGACCCCGTAATTTTATATCTGGGTATAAGTTAATAGTCCGCACGATATTCCGTCAAAAGTTCCGGTATACCGAAAGTATAAAGACCGATTATCCGAAAAAAGTGTAAATCGTTTAAAAATTTAAAATGTTCCAAACTTAAAAGATCCTACTTAAAATGTTTTCAGTCCCCTAGCATTCCGACGCAATATTCCATATAAATCCACATGCTAATATCAATATTTCCGCAAATATCGCACCACAATCACAGAGCAAATTCAAGCACAACTCTACCAGAACACGACTCTCGAATCTTTTTTTCCCAGAACTTTGGCAATCAGGTGACTGGTTCCTTCATCACAACAATACCCCCTGCATACATGGCCTTACGAGTGACTCACTATTTGGCCTCTCAGGGATGGCCTGTCATTCCCCACCCTCCGTATTCACCAGACTTAGCCCCATGCGACTTTTTTCTGTTTCCAAGAATAAAGAAAAATCTAAAAGGAAAGTGTTTTTATGATGTAGAGGCAGTAAAAACAGCTTCCCTAAGGGCACTGGACGATATCAAGGTTGAAGAGTTCCAGAGATGCTTCAAACAGTGGGGAAAAAGACTTGACAAGTGCATCACATTTAATGGAGAGTACTTTGAAGGTGACTGAAGGAATTTTGTAAAAAAGTTAATAAACAAAGTTTTTATACAAAAAATCCAGTTATTTTTGGGTTCCCCCACATATATTCATTAATACAATTAAGCAAACCCAATTATTTACATTTTAAGTATTTTAATTCTTGTTATTTACACATTACAGCAAGTTAAATTTGTCTACAATGCATAAAATATATTATATACCTTTCAGTATGAGGCAAACTGCTCTTAATCATTGTTGTTTGTTTCATTGGTTCAGTTGAACTTATCACATCTAAAAATTTAAAAATATAAAAAATATAAAATTCATTTTACTGTAAAAAATATACTAAACAAAAATATTTGACAATTAATAATTTGTAATGATATATTATTGTTAGTATTTGAAACCATCAAATACTGATAAAAATTATTCTTAAATGTTTCTTAATCTATTTTACTTTAATTTTTTTAAATTATATTGTTGGATAGCATTGTTTATTATATGATGAGATTTCAAGGAATGAACCTAAACTAAATTTTTTAAAATTTAGTTGAAGTTTAATGTAATTATTTTTAAAATTATCTTCTTTTTTTCATCCATAACATATCTTTGTATTCAAATCAAAATATATAGCAGAAATATCTGTACAAATGTAATATCCACACCAAATTTAACATCTTATTTTAATCTTAAGTTAATACTGTTATATTCCTATTTCCAAATAAACTGAAATATAATCAATTTAATATTTTTAACAGTTATGTGGTGAAAACAAAATAAAAATCTTACTTTCTCCTTCAGACTTCAATTGATCAACAAAGGAATCAACATCTTTGTTTTTATTTCCAAGTTTTAATGCTTTGCTTGGTCCAGTTGGCCTACTAAAATATATTTTAAAAATTTTATAAAACTTAAAAATATCAATATTTTAAATTATTATGTTCATTCTATAAAGATATAAAGATCAGATAAAGAACTAACCAAAGATAAAGAGCCAAACTGAAATTAAAAAATTTAGCATTAAAAAGAAACAGTCTTTAAATGTATACATTGCAACAGTTAAAATGCAGAAATAAGAAGTTATTAAATTATTAATCTAGTTTTACTTTATTTAATATAAAACTTATGCATTCAATATATGATATATTGTTTTTTAGTACATTACATAAAGTTTTATATAAAATAATGATTAATTTTCAAATATATTTATAAAATATTACAAAACACAGTAGAACCCAATTATCCAAGGTAATGCTGACTGATGGATAACCAAAACTCAGATAAAATGGAAAAAATAACATAATTTTTATTTGAAATGGACATGGCCATTTCAAATAAAAATTAGAATATAAATGATTTATATGGCAACACTTCTAAACCTCTCTCTATACCTTAGTGAATTTAATCATTTATAAAATCAATTTTTACATCATTTATTATAGAGCTAATACATACATTTTACAGTTTTAAGAATAAAAAATATTATTATTATTATTATTATTATTATAGTTTACAGTTTAATACAGGATTTGTCCAAAAAGTATCAGGACTGAAGTCATAAAATGAAATTTATTGAAGATATATGTACAGTTAATAATCTTCAAAATATGACCCTCCTACATCAATACATCGCTGCCAGCATTTTTTGCAGTCTTCATACGCTCCCTGGAAGTCGGCAACTGCAAGGCTGTTCAGGCACCCCATCAAAGCCACTTGGATGCCTCAATCATCCTGAAACGATGTCCTTCAGGTTCCTTTTGATCTAAGAGAACAAAAAGAAGTTAGGGGAAGTCACATCTGGACTGTAGGTGGGTGGGGCAGCATTAACACATTGTATTTGGCCAGTACCTCCCTCACAATTTGCAACATGTGACTGGGTCATTGTCGTGATGGAGCATCCAGGTATCAGCGATCTCCATTTGGATGTGGCAAACCCTAATCCTCAAACGAACACTTAACCCCCAGTGATCAGAGTTCAAAGATCTCACACTTTGGCCACATTTTCATCTGTTCGAGTCACTGTCAGGCGTCCAGCACGTTGTTCATCTTCAATGTCATTCCGGCCATCTTTGCATTGTTTGTGTCATTCAAAAACACACGTTCTGGACATGGCTTTGTCCTTGTAAGCTTCATGGATCATATCAAAAGTCTCCATAGCAGATGTATTCAATTTAATGCAAAATTTGATGGCAAAACAATGTTCGATAGTTCGCTGATTCTTGACTCTCGACAAGAGCACTAAACACACTTTCACTTCAGGTGCAATCTACACACTCCAAATGCTCAGATAACTGAGCCAGGTCTAGTAGCTTATGTGACATCCCCCATCACCAACCCCACCCATAGCATCTGCCCTCCACCTAATTGGCAGGAAAAAAATCAGTCCTGATACTTATTGGACAAACCCTATATGAATAATTTGCTTTGCATTGAAGTTAAATGTTAAAAGATAACAATGTCATTTTAGAACACATGCTACAATTTTAAATTTTCTTTTATGAATTACAGTAGAGAAAAAGTGTATTCATTTACAGGTGTATCTCAAATAATACAGAACCCAACTAATCAGATATTGGATAATCAAAGTTCTACTTATGTTAATACTGAAGAGAAATGCAAAATAAAATACTTTTATGCCTACATACACATACTCTAGTCTAGGAACACAATTAAAATTAGTAGAGTCAACCTTTTCCTATGAACTCTTCACCTCCCACAAACATGTAAAAATTTGTCCAAAGTCTCTTTAGCATCAGATACTTTTAAAAAATTTCAATTCAGAAAATTCTCAGATCCAAAAATGAAGTATTTTAAAATACAATACCAGAGACCAAATATATGACTTCCAGAAATCTGAAACTAACAGAAAAATCAGCTATTTTTGAAATTAGCTAGATTTTAATTCAGCAGGTTATAGTTTGTCATGTAGCCACTCTCTCTTTTGGTTTCCATGGCATACGAGCATCTCACAACAGTTTCAGTGTGACTACTGATGTATGGCATGTTAAATATAATTACATTCTTTACTTTCCTTTGTATTCGTTTATATTTTAAATATATATTTATGTTATGCCCATAAAATCAGAAAATACAGAAGTTAGGGTCACTTCTGATCCCAAGTTTACCAGATACTTGGTTCAGTATTGTATTACAAAATGATTTGTATTCTAAGTTCAAACCTAGAATACAAATCATTTTGTATTCTAGGTTTGAACCTAGAACACAAAATAGAGGATGTTTAAAATGAGGTTAAAATATTTAAATTTTTTTCACTTCAATTTTAATATATTTTGTAGTATTTTAAAAATGTTTCATCCTTAAATTTGTGAATATTTGGAATTTCATATACTCTATTTGGAAATCACCATTTGTTATCTGGTGGTGAAAATAAATTTTTAAAAATTAAAATATTATGAAAATATTAGGTGGACCAATTCCTTTCTTCAATTCAACAACAAAAACTTTATGAAAATATTACACCAACAACAAATAACTTAATAATTTACCTATTTATAAAAATGTTAATGTGCTAAAAAAAATCATTTTTTATTTATTTCTTATTAATTATCATACCTTGGTGGTACATAAGTTGTTTTTGGTGATTCTTGGACAGATGGTGCTGTATCACCAATCATAGGTGAAGATGGATAAGCCATATTTCCACTTCCAAATCCACCAGAACCAAATCCTGGTGTTCTTCCTTTCTTTGCAGCATCTTGGCGTGCTCGTTGAAGTTCTCTTGCTTTCTCCTTCATCTTTTGTTTTGCTTCACGTTCTTGTGTCTAAGAAAATAAATTTGAAGGTATGATAATAAGTCTGTAATTTTGTGAATATAATAAGCAAAATCTGTATAAAATATTCAGAGTATCACATTTCCTAAAATGAGAAGTTAGCTAATTATTATAATCATGCTAAAAAAAATAAGCATAATTTAGATAATTAATAAATTATTTTTAATTATTTTGTAAAATAGTTAAATTAACAATAGTAAAATGTTTTGATAAACTAATCTATGGAAAGTAGTTTTAAGTAAACTAATCAAAATAGTTTTTCTATTTATAATTTTCATTATATTGGTTTAGGTACATAATTAAATACTGTCAAAGAAATCATACATACATTATATACATATATATAAAGTCTAGTATAGCCAAAAATGCTGATGTTTTTGGCTAATAACACATCAGGCATCTGGAATTTTAAAATTGAGTCTGTCCATAAACTGTAATGGTGGCATTCAGTTGCACTTTCAAATTTTTAAATTCTAGATGTCTAAATATGGTTTATTGGGTGAAAATGTTAGAATCTATGTATGTTATATATGAACTCATGCAATGCTGGAAATATCTTTTTGCTTCTGGACAGATGTTTATGTGGATATCCTATATATTCTATTTTTGTTACCACATAATGTCAAAATATTCAAACATTTAAGCATTCTACACAGTTCTTTATTTGTGATTTTTAAATTATTATGAAATATCTGATGCATATTCTATTTAGAATACCTATTTTATTTAACTTATTACAATCTCATCCCAAAATAACAGGTTTGAGAAAAATTTTAAACTATATATTTTAACAATCTTTTATTTGCACATTTCTTATGTGCCATTGTAAAAAAAAAAAAAATTACTTACAATTTATTATTTGTTTCATAAAATATAAAAATTTTCCCTATTTAATTATTTAATAAGATGTTTATGAATAACAATCATAACAAGAACAGTACCTGACGTATGGCTTGATAAACTTTTTCTTCGTGGGAATCCATTTCCACAAATGTACGAATTTGTGCAAGATTAACATTTTCTCTATATCCTAATGCCACTATCTCATCAAATGCAAATATTAAATTAAATGAATTCTCAGTTATATCTTGTTCATCCATATTTTTACAATACTCTGGTATCTAAAAAAAAAATTATATCATGACAGGAAAAAAATAAACAAAACTTACAAAATGATAAACAGAAAAATATAGTTATCCAAATCATTAAATGATTATTTAAAGTTACTTTAAATGTTTAAATGTATTATTTTGGATTAGATACACTGACTAATGCAAACAATAACCTTACAAAAGATGTTACTGTAGCACTTGCAAATTTATAACAGTTACAGAATGAAATTTTTCAAAAATTCACAAACATTAGAAATTCTTAAACTGTAAATATAAAATTAGGAGACTCACAAGAGCAGTTAGTAATCTCCAAGTTTGACAAAATTTTGTGGATATTTAGTATTTACTAGTACTTCAACTCTACCAAAGCCACAGGACTCACTATTCAGGTATTCTCAAAAAAATTGGGATAAGTTTTTCTACAACCATTAATTGCAATAGAGAAGACTGATCTGTGAAGTAGCAGCATGGTATGATTAGCTCTGTGGTAGTTTTGTTTTTGAATTTGATCCCTACTATATATGAGGTTTTTCATTTAATTTAATCTTATCATTTTAAAATTTCTTATGTATAATTTTTTTTGATCATTGAAAATATATTTTTTACTTTGATCACTCCATTTTTAAAATGAACATATAACATTATAATCACATTTTGTATTACTTAATGTAATGTAGGTATTATACACTTCTTAATTGAATTATTACAGTCAAACGTAAAAAATGGAAAGTTTTTATTAATAATACATTTGTGGATAGTCAAACAAATTCTCAAATATATGATGAAGATATTCCATCTTGCCAATTAAAAATTATCCCAGCAAAATGTACTCCTCTCTGCCAGCTTTGCAATGTTTATTTTAATAGACAGGATAAAAATTTCAACAAAAAATTACAAAATTGTAGCTATCTTCTTAAAACCAACAATGAAGATGCTATTAAAGTACACTCACAGATTCACAACCAGTTGAGTGCACCAGTTTTTTGTGACATGATAAAGTATGCATGCCTTGCATCTCAAACAACACAAAAGAAATTTTCAAAAATGTTATTTGGCATTTTAAAAACATAACTAAACAACTTTGCTATCTACATACAAATGTCATTAAAACTAATGCCAAATGATCTGCTGGATTTGTCAGGCTATATTAAGTCAGCATATAATAGATAAAAACGAGGAAAGTTTACAATATCCAATAAATATAAAGAACAAATCTTAGATGAGCTGCTGTTCCAATTAACAAATAATCAAACTGCACAATATATGAAATTTCAGAGATGTAAAAATCCATCTACTAGTAGTAGGCAGTCAGGTTGTCTTCTCAAAATAAATTTAATAATTAGAAATAAATAAATTTTTAAAATTAAGAATCAACATTCTTAATTAAATAGAATGAAAGTGTATTTTTCAAAAAATGTTTGTTTATTTTAATTTAGATCATAAACTTGTTTATTACAGTCTCAGAACTATAAGCAATAATAAATATAAAACTTTTCTGTAAAATTAAACTTCTCATACATACTTAATTTTGATTACACAAATGTATTTACATAACAAACACAGATAAACTAACAAATTTGTCAACTGCTGAACACATACATTCAGACACCCTGCACACCAAAATTAGTCCATTAAATTGAGGTTTTACTGTACATTAATTAAAATATTATACAGTACAATACATTTATTAATAAATCATATTAATAAAATGTTGCCAACTGGAAATAACTTTCAAGTGTATTAGTTCTTTAGGTTAACACAGAGCTGAAAACCATATACACTCTTGACATAGGACATAAGAGATACAACAAAACACACATGTTGATTTTCAAGAATTTTTGTCTCACAGAATGTGTTTGTATTGTGTGACATCACATTTCAAGTCGTTATATACAGAAACAAAGATATGGATCCAAATGATTGAAGTAGCAAAGATGTCTGCCTTCTGTAATGAGGAATTTGAATTCAGATCAAGAAATTTCAGAATTTTTTATGCATTTGATTATTAATATATAATTCAAGCTTGGCTTACTACATGACCTTGATATATCATATCATATTCCTCATTACTTAGTCAATCTCACTGTAACTTTAAATCACTAATAAATCATTGGTAATGGGTAAAGTTATTGGGCAACTATAAATCATAGTGTAATGATGACTATTATTAAATTAATATAAAACACATTAAAACAAGATATAACTAATAGCTGCAATTAATTTTAAAAATAAATAATGTTAAATAACAAAGATCTATTTAATTCACGGACAAATGACAAATTTTTATTAGTGAATTTACATAATCACGATTAAAAATCATTAAATTATTTTTCAATCATATCTATTAGATGTATCATTTTTAATGTTTAAAATAATGTTTAAACACCTAAAAATCGAAACTATGTCAACAAGGACACTGAAATAATTATGAAAATAATTTAAAGAAATAAATTTTGGTTTTAATTTCATTAGCATCAATTATGTAAAAATTATTAAACTTACCACTCTAGAAAATAATCGAAGAGTTTCTAAATCTTCTAGAATATTACTTGCTCTTGTTGTTATTAGCAACATATATAATTTCTCAAGTGGCTGATACACATATCGAACACTTTCAGTCTCGACAAATGTATGTTGTCGTCCAGAACCTAACAATTTTGGAAATGCTGCTAAGAGGCCTTCAATGCGAGCACGGGTCATCTCTACAAACTGGCGTGATATAATTGCTAAGAAAAAAAATTATAATAAAAGAAAAATTTCAAATTTACTGTAAACATATATTGTATATTTATTTAAATTTAGTGCTTTGTAAACATATTTAAAATATATAATTCTGAAACTATTTTAAAAATTTTAAATTAAAAGTGAATTTTTATACTGGGCCTATAGAATGGAAAAAATTCATTGATTACAAAAGATTTCAATAAAGTAAAAATCAAACAAATTCAAACTTCTAAATTTGAGTAACACAGTCCACTGGTCTTAAAATGAACACCTATAAAGCGAATACTCAGGTTAAAGTGAATTTTGCCAGGGCAATGGCACAATGCCATTGACAACATTAATTTTTATGCAATAATGTGAACAAAAATTTTATCAGAATTTATTAAGCCAAACTGTAAATTACCTCCAATAATAGTTGCTCTTAACACTTTTCAAAGTGATTAATAAAAAGTGGCACTGTAATAAATGTTCTATTTTAAGTAGAATAAATTTTCTTCTAGTAAGCAGACAGATTCAACTTCTGACTGTAAAGCAATTCGAACATCTGGTTTTAGTGAACCAATGTACTGTACTCAGAAAATAGAGGTTAAAGTTTAAGGACACTCACTCCTTTAAATGAATGTGGTCCCATATAAACAATTACTAATTTGCATATTGGCAAGTACATACATGATGCCAAGTTTGGCTCTTTTTCTACTCTTTTGAGGCCAAAAAAAAGAGTTGGCACATGAGCTACTTTTTGGCTATGTACACTGCCATTAACATAACTTAAACTCATACACCATACTCTGTATAATCAGGACCAGTCAGGATGTTGCTCAATAAAAGTGATGATTTTGTAAATGACAGCAAGATTAACAGTGATGTTCAGCCATCTAGCCTTCTTTCAAAGATGCAACAGATGCAGTAGACATCATATACTGCTATCTTTAGTTTGAAAGTAATGTGCATGAATAATTAAAGATGACATTTGTAATTGAAAAAAGAAAAACATTTTCTACTTTTTCAAACAAACAACAACAGAGGAAAAAAATCTGGGATTTCTTTTAGCTTTGTTTTGTTTAACCACTCTGATATACTGCTCATACTGAACACAGTCTCCTCCTCATTTTGTCTGATTTGAAAATCATTTAGAACATTAATTTGTATTAACTTACTTTGTAAGTAAATTTAATTTTTAACTTTGTTTAATAATTAATTCAAAATGTTATTATTCAGAAAATTCAATGACCTTAACTCCTAAATTATACAATCTTGATCCTAAACATTGCTTTATCAAAAATTTGCATTAACAAACTAACAACTGTTCCCCAGCAATTAGTATTAATGTGAATTGACTGTATAATCCATTTTAAAATACACTGTAATAAACAAAGTAAAAAGGAAAAAGCAATTTAAAATTTCTTACGAATTCTTTTTTACGGAAATTCTTTAATTCCTCAGAATCTTATTATTAATATTGTACTTATTAAGAATTTAATTAAATATGAATGATCAAATGGTAATATCAATACTAAAGCGGCATACAAATCAAAATACATTAATTTGACTATATGAATATACAATTTTCTTCCATTTGAAACCAATTTATTGTTTTTATACTTTATATTCTTTAAATGAGTAAAATGCATGAAATGATAGAACTGATTAAAAACTAAAACACTCTTTCATATTAAGGGATTTCAATTGTTATCATCTTTAGAAATAAATCTAAATTAGTTATGTTCAATTAGTCACAGCAGGAAAATATATTACAGTATATAAATATAAGATTCACATATCAAATATATATTCATTTTCAAATAAAATTTAATATAAAATTTACCTTTTCCAGATTTCGAACATACTGCAGCTGCTAACAACACCTAGAAAAAAATAAACAAACTTTAAAATTTGTCTATATGCAAAACAGTGTAATTTATTTTATAAAACACAAATTGTGTACTTGTTTTATTCATTAAAAAATAAAAAATTGCTACACAATTTTTTAAAAAGTCTTAAATTTCTTGAATACATAAAGTATAGATAATCAATAAATTTCAATTAAAAATACATAAATTATTGCTTAAATATTACTTAAACTATATAAATTATTACTTAAACTATTTTAAATTATTTGAAATAATAATAAAAAGAGTTATTTATTAGAATTAGATTATTTATATAAAAGAGTAAAATTTATGTTAACTCAATTTCATTTTCTCAAATAANTAAAAAATTTTGTGAGAGTCGAGTTTAGTGAATAAATTCGTTAAATAAAATTTTTGTTAAGGGAGGAAAAGAAAAAAATTTAACTTCAAATTGCCATAAAAAAAAGACATAAAAATCTTTTCCCACGAACTTAGTTCCTTGTCAAGTATGATACATCGAATGTGTCACCCGAAATCTCGAAAACGACTATTGGTCAGAGAAGAAAGAACAGTCCTAATAAGGCAGTGGAAAAAACCCAAAGAGACCCCTTTTATAAAAAGGAGGGGTCGATACGTAAGAGTCAGTCTGTGGAAATTTGTGCGCACTGTGTTTTTTAGAAAAACGGATAAGTCGCTACCAGGAACTCGCTGTTCGAAGGGACTACGCCGACAACGTTCGAAGGAACTTTGTGATACTAAAAACCCGGTTCAACGTTCGAAGGAACTTGTGAAGACCCATTAACGATTCAACCCAGGACTAATCAACGATTGAACTTAAGGTATTTATCCTCGCACGAAATATATGTGAGCTCTCTCTCAGAAATACGGGTAACCGGTAAAAAGTTGATATGCTAATTAACCGATTGTAGATAGCTATTGCGATTGTATAAAAAATTAACAATAAACGGGCATTATGTATAGAGAATGCATAGTGTGATTCCTCTGGTTCTCTCGGTACGCCTCCATCCCGGAACTAAAAGTCCACAACGCGACCGTTCGCGTAAATAAACGGCCAATTACTTTTTTCTGTGTCTACTACAAGACACAGTGGTGTCATCCTGACAGGGCGCCAAAGAGGTGCCGACCCTGCGGTCACAATTTTAAATAGTATTATTGTCTGGAGTTTCTACANAGGACTGAAGTCATAAAATGAAATTTATTGAAGATATATGTACAGTTAATAATCTTCAAAATATAACCCTCCTACATCAATACATCGCTGCCAGCATTTTTTGCAGTCTTCATACGCTCCCTGGAAGTCGGCAACTGCAAGGCTGTTCAGGCACCCCATCAAAGCCACTTGGATGCCTCAATCATCCTGAAACGATGTCCTTCAGGTTCCTTTTGATCTAAGAGAACAAAAAGAAGTTAGGGGAAGTCACATCTGGACTGTAGGTGGGTGGGGCAGCATTAACACATTGTATTTGGCCAGTACCTCCCTCACAATTTGCAACATGTGACTGGGTCATTGTCGTGATGGAGCATCCAGGTATCAGCGATCTCCATTTGGATGTGGCAAACCCTAATCCTCAAACGAACACTTAACCCCCAGTGATCAGAGTTCAAAGATCTCACACTTTGGCCACATTTTCATCTGTTCGAGTCACTGTCAGGCGTCCAGCACGTTGTTCATCTTCAATGTCATTCCGGCCATCTTTGCATTGTTTGTGTCATTCAAAAACACACGTTCTGGACATGGCTTTGTCCTTGTAAGCTTCATGGATCATATCAAAAGTCTCCATAGCAGATGTATTCAATTTAATGCAAAATTTGATGGCAAAACAATGTTCGATAGTTCGCTGATTCTTGACTCTCGACAAGAGCACTAAACACACTTTCACTTCAGGTGCAATCTACACACTCCAAATGCTCAGATAACTGAGCCAGGTCTAGTAGCTTATGTGACATCCCCCATCACCAACCCCACCCATAGCATCTGCCCTCCACCTAATTGGCAGGAAAAAAATCAGTCCTGATACTTATTGGACAAACCCTATATGAATAATTTGCTTTGCATTGAAGTTAAATGTTAAAAGATAACAATGTCATTTTAGAACACATGCTACAATTTTAAATTTTCTTTTATGAATTACAGTAGAGAAAAAGTGTATTCATTTACAGGTGTATCTCAAATAATACAGAACCCAACTAATCAGATATTGGATAATCAAAGTTCTACTTATGTTAATACTGAAGAGAAATGCAAAATAAAATACTTTTATGCCTACATACACATACTCTAGTCTAGGAACACAATTAAAATTAGTAGAGTCAACCTTTTCCTATGAACTCTTCACCTCCCACAAACATGTAAAAATTTGTCCAAAGTCTCTTTAGCATCAGATACTTTTAAAAAATTTCAATTCAGAAAATTCTCAGATCCAAAAATGAAGTATTTTAAAATACAATACCAGAGACCAAATATATGACTTCCAGAAATCTGAAACTAACAGAAAAATCAGCTATTTTTGAAATTAGCTAGATTTTAATTCAGCAGGTTATAGTTTGTCATGTAGCCACTCTCTCTTTTGGTTTCCATGGCATACGAGCATCTCACAACAGTTTCAGTGTGACTACTGATGTATGGCATGTTAAATATAATTACATTCTTTACTTTCCTTTGTATTCGTTTATATTTTAAATATATATTTATGTTATGCCCATAAAATCAGAAAATACAGAAGTTAGGGTCACTTCTGATCCCAAGTTTACCAGATACTTGGTTCAGTATTGTATTACAAAATGATTTGTATTCTAAGTTCAAACCTAGAATACAAATCATTTTGTATTCTAGGTTTGAACCTAGAACACAAAATAGAGGATGTTTAAAATGAGGTTAAAATATTTAAATTTTTTTCACTTCAATTTTAATATATTTTGTAGTATTTTAAAAATGTTTCATCCTTAAATTTGTGAATATTTGGAATTTCATATACTCTATTTGGAAATCACCATTTGTTATCTGGTGGTGAAAATAAATTTTTAAAAATTAAAATATTATGAAAATATTAGGTGGACCAATTCCTTTCTTCAATTCAACAACAAAAACTTTATGAAAATATTACACCAACAACAAATAACTTAATAATTTACCTATTTATAAAAATGTTAATGTGCTAAAAAAAATCATTTTTTATTTATTTCTTATTAATTATCATACCTTGGTGGTACATAAGTTGTTTTTGGTGATTCTTGGACAGATGGTGCTGTATCACCAATCATAGGTGAAGATGGATAAGCCATATTTCCACTTCCAAATCCACCAGAACCAAATCCTGGTGTTCTTCCTTTCTTTGCAGCATCTTGGCGTGCTCGTTGAAGTTCTCTTGCTTTCTCCTTCATCTTTTGTTTTGCTTCACGTTCTTGTGTCTAAGAAAATAAATTTGAAGGTATGATAATAAGTCTGTAATTTTGTGAATATAATAAGCAAAATCTGTATAAAATATTCAGAGTATCACATTTCCTAAAATGAGAAGTTAGCTAATTATTATAATCATGCTAAAAAAAATAAGCATAATTTAGATAATTAATAAATTATTTTTAATTATTTTGTAAAATAGTTAAATTAACAATAGTAAAATGTTTTGATAAACTAATCTATGGAAAGTAGTTTTAAGTAAACTAATCAAAATAGTTTTTCTATTTATAATTTTCATTATATTGGTTTAGGTACATAATTAAATACTGTCAAAGAAATCATACATACATTATATACATATATATAAAGTCTAGTATAGCCAAAAATGCTGATGTTTTTGGCTAATAACACATCAGGCATCTGGAATTTTAAAATTGAGTCTGTCCATAAACTGTAATGGTGGCATTCAGTTGCACTTTCAAATTTTTAAATTCTAGATGTCTAAATATGGTTTATTGGGTGAAAATGTTAGAATCTATGTATGTTATATATGAACTCATGCAATGCTGGAAATATCTTTTTGCTTCTGGACAGATGTTTATGTGGATATCCTATATATTCTATTTTTGTTACCACATAATGTCAAAATATTCAAACATTTAAGCATTCTACACAGTTCTTTATTTGTGATTTTTAAATTATTATGAAATATCTGATGCATATTCTATTTAGAATACCTATTTTATTTAACTTATTACAATCTCATCCCAAAATAACAGGTTTGAGAAAAATTTTAAACTATATATTTTAACAATCTTTTATTTGCACATTTCTTATGTGCCATTGTAAAAAAAAAAAAATTACTTACAATTTATTATTTGTTTCATAAAATATAAAAATTTTCCCTATTTAATTATTTAATAAGATGTTTATGAATAACAATCATAACAAGAACAGTACCTGACGTATGGCTTGATAAACTTTTTCTTCGTGGGAATCCATTTCCACAAATGTACGAATTTGTGCAAGATTAACATTTTCTCTATATCCTAATGCCACTATCTCATCAAATGCAAATATTAAATTAAATGAATTCTCAGTTATATCTTGTTCATCCATATTTTTACAATACTCTGGTATCTAAAAAAAAAATTATATCATGACAGAGGAAAAAAATAAACAAAACTTACAAAATGATAAACAGAAAAATATAGTTATCCAAATCATTAAATGATTATTTAAAGTTACTTTAAATGTTTAAATGTATTATTTTGGATTAGATACACTGACTAATGCAAACAATAACCTTACAAAAGATGTTACTGTAGCACTTGCAAATTTATAACAGTTACATAATGAAATTTTTCAAAAATTCACAAACATTAGAAATTCTTAAACTGTAAATATAAAATTAGGAGACTCACAAGAGCAGTTAGTAATCTCCAAGTTTGACAAAATTTTGTGGATATGTAGTATTTACTAGTACTTCAACTCTACCAAAGCCACAGGACTCACTATTCAGGTATTCTCAAAAAAATTGGGATAAGTTTTTCTACAACCATTAATTGCAATAGAGAAGACTGATCTGTGAAGTAGCAGCATGGTATGATTAGCTCTGTGGTAGTTTTGTTTTTGAATTTGATCCCTACTATATATGAGGTTTTTCATTTAATTTAATCTTATCATTTTTAAATTTCTTATGTATAATTTTTTTTGATCATTGAAAATATATTTTTTTACTTTGATCACTCCATTTTTAAAATGAACATATAACATTATAATCACATTTTGTATTACTTAATGTAATGTAGGTATTATACACTTCTTAATTGAATTATTACAGTCAAATGTAAAAAATGGAAAGTTTTTATTAATAATACATTTGTGGATAGTCAAACAAATTCTCAAATATATGATGAAGATATTCCATCTTGCCAATTAAAAATTATCCCAGCAAAATGTACTCCTCTCTGCCAGCTTTGCAATGTTTATTTTAATAGACAGGATAAAAATTTCAACAAAAAATTACAAAATTGTAGCTATCTTCTTAAAACCAACAATGAAGATGCTATTAAAGTACACTCACAGATTCACAACCAGTTGAGTGCACCAGTTTTTTGTGACATGATAAAGTATGCATGCCTTGCATCTCAAACAACACAAAAGAAATTTTCAAAAATGTTATTTGGCATTTTAAAAACATAACTAAACAACTTTGCTATCTACATACAAATGTCATTAAAACTAATGCCAAATGATCTGCTGGATTTGTCAGGCTATATTAAGTCAGCATATAATAGATAAAAACGAGGAAAGTTTACAATATCCAATAAATATAAAGAACAAATCTTAGATGAGCTGCTGTTCCAATTAACAAATAATCAAACTGCACAATATATGAAATTTCAGAGATGTAAAAATCCATCTACTAGTAGTAGGCAGTCAGGTTGTCTTCTCAAAATAAATTTAATAATTAGAAATAAATAAATTTTTAAAATTAAGAATCAACATTCTTAATTAAATAGAATGAAAGTGTATTTTTCAAAAAATGTTTGTTTATTTTAATTTAGATCATAAACTTGTTTATTACAGTCTCAGAACTATAAGCAATAATAAATATAAAACTTTTCTGTAAAATTAAACTTCTCATACATACTTAATTTTGATTACACAAATGTATTTACATAACAAACACAGATAAACTAACAAATTTGTCAACTGCTGAACACATACATTCAGACACCCTGCACACCAAAATTAGTCCATTAAATTGAGGTTTTACTGTACATTAATTAAAATATTATACAGTACAATACATTTATTAATAAATCATATTAATAAAATGTTGCCAACTGGAAATAACTTTCAAGTGTATTAGTTCTTTAGGTTAACACAGAGCTGAAAACCATATACACTCTTGACATAGGACATAAGAGATACAACAAAACACACATGTTGATTTTCAAGAATTTTTGTCTCACAGAATGTGTTTGTATTGTGTGACATCACATTTCAAGTCGTTATATACAGAAACAAAGATATGGATCCAAATGATTGAAGTAGCAAAGATGTCTGCCTACTGTAATGAGGAATTTGAATTCAGATCAAGAAATTTCAGAATTTTTTATGCATTTGATTATTAATATATAATTCAAGCTTGGCTTACTACATGACCTTGATATATCATATCATATTCCTCATTACTTAGTCAATCTCACTGTAACTTTAAATCACTAATAAATCATTGGTAATGGGTAAAGTTATTGGGCAACTATAAATCATAGTGTAATGATGACTATTATTAAATTAATATAAAACACATTAAAACAAGATATAACTAATAGCTGCAATTAATTTTAAAAATAAATAATGTTAAATAACAAAGATCTATTTAATTCACGGACAAATGACAAATTTTTATTAGTGAATTTACATAATCACGATTAAAAATCATTAAATTATTTTTCAATCATATCTATTAGATGTATCATTTTTAATGTTTAAAATAATGTTTAAACACCTAAAAATCGAAACTATGTCAACAAGGACACTGAAATAATTATGAAAATAATTTAAAGAAATAAATTTTGGTTTTAATTTCATTAGCATCAATTATGTAAAAATTATTAAACTTACCACTCTAGAAAATAATCGAAGAGTTTCTAAATCTTCTAGAATATTACTTGCTCTTGTTGTTATTAGCAACATATATAATTTCTCAAGTGGCTGATACACATATCGAACACTTTCAGTCTCGACAAATGTATGTTGTCGTCCAGAACCTAACAATTTTGGAAATGCTGCTAAGAGGCCTTCAATGCGAGCACGGGTCATCTCTACAAACTGGCGTGATATAATTGCTAAGAAAAAAAATTATAATAAAAGAAAAATTTCAAATTTACTGTAAACATATATTGTATATTTATTTAAATTTAGTGCTTTGTAAACATATTTAAAATATATAATTCTGAAACTATTTTAAAAATTTTAAATTAAAAGTGAATTTTTATACTGGGCCTATAGAATGGAAAAAATTCATTGATTACAAAAGATTTCAATAAAGTAAAAATCAAACAAATTCAAACTTCTAAATTTGAGTAACACAGTCCACTGGTCTTAAAATGAACACCTATAAAGCGAATACTCAGGTTAAAGTGAATTTTGCCAGGGCAATGGCACAATGCCATTGACAACATTAATTTTTATGCAATAATGTGAACAAAAATTTTATCAGAATTTATTAAGCCAAACTGTAAATTACCTCCAATAATAGTTGCTCTTAACACTTTTCAAAGTGATTAATAAAAAGTGGCACTGTAATAAATGTTCTATTTTAAGTAGAATAAATTTTCTTCTAGTAAGCAGACAGATTCAACTTCTGACTGTAAAGCAATTCGAACATCTGGTTTTAGTGAACCAATGTACTGTACTCAGAAAATAGAGGTTAAAGTTTAAGGACACTCACTCCTTTAAATGAATGTGGTCCCATATAAACAATTACTAATTTGCATATTGGCAAGTACATACATGATGCCAAGTTTGGCTCTTTTTCTACTCTTTTGAGGCCAAAAAAAAGAGTTGGCACATGAGCTACTTTTTGGCTATGTACACTGCCATTAACATAACTTAAACTCATACACCATACTCTGTATAATCAGGACCAGTCAGGATGTTGCTCAATAAAAGTGATGATTTTGTAAATGACAGCAAGATTAACAGTGATGTTCAGCCATCTAGCCTTCTTTCAAAGATGCAACAGATGCAGTAGACATCATATACTGCTATCTTTAGTTTGAAAGTAATGTGCATGAATAATTAAAGATGACATTTGTAATTGAAAAAAGAAAAACATTTTCTACTTTTTCAAACAAACAACAACAGAGGAAAAAAATCTGGGATTTCTTTTAGCTTTGTTTTGTTTAACCACTCTGATATACTGCTCATACTGAACACAGTCTCCTCCTCATTTTGTCTGATTTGAAAATCATTTAGAACATTAATTTGTATTAACTTACTTTGTAAGTAAATTTAATTTTTAACTTTGTTTAATAATTAATTCAAAATGTTATTATTCAGAAAATTCAATGACCTTAACTCCTAAATTATACAATCTTGATCCTAAACATTGCTTTATCAAAAATTTGCATTAACAAACTAACAACTGTTCCCCAGCAATTAGTATTAATGTGAATTGACTGTATAATCCATTTTAAAATACACTGTAATAAACAAAGTAAAAAGGAAAAAGCAATTTAAAATTTCTTATGAATTCTTTTTTACGGAAATTCTTTAATTCCTCAGAATCTTATTATTAATATTGTACTTATTAAGAATTTAATTAAATATGAATGATCAAATGGTAATATCAATACTAAAGCGGCATACAAATCAAAATACATTAATTTGACTATATGAATATACAATTTTCTTCCATTTGAAACCAATTTATTGTTTTTATACTTTATATTCTTTAAATGAGTAAAATGCATGAAATGATAGAACTGATTAAAAACTAAAACACTCTTTCATATTAAGGGATTTCAATTGTTATCATCTTTAGAAATAAATCTAAATTAGTTATGTTCAATTAGTCACAGCAGGAAAATATATTACAGTATATAAATATAAGATTCACATATCAAATATATATTCATTTTCAAATAAAATTTAATATAAAATTTACCTTTTCCAGATTTCGAACATACTGCAGCTGCTAACAACACCTAGAAAAAAATAAACAAACTTTAAAATTTGTCTATATGCAAAACAGTGTAATTTATTTTATAAAACACAAATTGTGTACTTGTTTTATTCATTAAAAAATAAAAAATTGCTACACAATTTTTTAAAAAGTCTTAAATTTCTTGAATACATAAAGTATAGATAATCAATAAATTTCAATTAAAAATACATAAATTATTGCTTAAATATTACTTAAACTATATAAATTATTACTTAAACTATTTTAAATTATTTGAAATAATAATAAAAAGAGTTATTTATTAGAATTAGATTATTTATATAAAAGAGTAAAATTTATGTTAACTCAATTTCATTTTCTCAAATAAACTATAAAAAAATTGTATGTATTTTAAAACAAAGAAATTACTCATAAACATATCTAGAAAAATGTCTAAGAATATGTTTTGATGATTATTATATTATATTAAATTTATTTACATATATAAATTTAAAAATATGTTGATAAAATTAACAATTTAAATTTATGAAAATATATTCTTAGAAAATATTTAATTTTAAGAAAATTCATTCAACAACTTTTATTAATTAAAGAAAAATACAAATATAAAATTATAAGAAAAAGTATAGTATTATTTAATGTAATTTGGACAAATGCCAGTTTAACAAAATATGATATTTGATAAAAGATATCTGCATGAAAAAATTTAATATAATTTATGCATATTTGATCTTTTAATCATGTTTCATATATTCTCTACAAAATAAATACAGCAGAACCACAATTATCCAAGTCTTGATTAACTGAGATTCTGCATTATCTGAGTAAGTGTAATAGAGTACTTTTCTTAAATTCATAAAAGCTTTCCTGTGAATGTACCAAGTGTGTAAATATTCTAGTATTTTTAACCTTGACTATCCAAAGTGAGAAGTTGAGAAGCTGGTGACATGAGATGAGTGCAAGCCACTTACTCACTTCTAACTGCACACCATCTATTTGGCTATTGTCATTGTGTTGCTACATCTTTAATATCACAATGAGCAGAAAAAGGAAGCATGTTGTGAAATCCTTTCAATCCAAAATAACTACAGTCATCCATTTTATCTGAAGTAGCATCAGTCTATATTAGCTTGAATAATCAAGCTATTATTGAATTTTTAAAATGATGGTTAACAGTTCAAACTAAAATTGAAATCAAGAAAAAAACCAATTCATTTTTTGAAGCCTAATTTAATAGCTTAAAAAATTTTAAATAGTATTATTGTCTGGAGTTTCTACATCAGGGTTGCAAAATGGTAGTCTGAGGACCAGTGATGGTCCACAAAAAAATTTTGGTGGTCAGTGGAGAAATTCAGACATTGATCAACTCAAGGTTACACAAAGTATTACAAAAGAAATGCAAAATGCTTGGTTGTCTTTTCTCACTCATTGGAGGTTTTTATTATTCAAATCTATAACCAAACATGAAATGACTGTTATCAATAAATAATAATGTCAATAAATCAACAAATAATCAATAATAAATAACATTAATTGTCATCCTTTGTGGAAAAGCTAAGAATCTATAAACTTATTTCAAAAAAGTAGCAACAAACTTAACATTAACTTGTTATAATTAAACAAGTGAATTTCATATTAATAAAGTAAAATAGAACCTTTAAGATCATCCTTCAAAAAGATGTTTGTATCATTTATAAAAATTCACGATGGTGGTCTGTGGAATTCAAAATTGTGAGTTTAGTGATCCATGAGGTCAGAAAGGTTGGTGACTGCTGTTCTATATCACTTGAGAATGTGTGATTAATTTGAAAGAAATTTTTATGCTGTTTTAATTTGTAATATGGTACAAAATTAATTAAAAAATGCTGTCATTGATAAGATAATGTTTCCTAATTTTCTACATATTATTTTAATATAATTATGAATTGTTCCTTCAATAAACATTAGAATTAAGAGTACCAGATATACGAAAACAAAATTTATGGTATTTTTTTGAGATTTCTTACATAATTTAGTAAATACATTTTATAAGTTTTCTAAGTTTAAAATATTGGAAGTAGAACAAACTGAATTTTGTCATAAAATATTTCTCTAATTTTATACTTCATGATTTTTTTATAATTTTTTTTTACACAAAAATTACTAACAAAAATCAAAGTACAAAATCTTTGTCTTAAAAAAATTTCAGTCTTTTGGTATTAACAAATCATCAAAATTCTTTAATATTAAACTTCAAATGTTTTCAATGAAATTCAGATTGTCATCATCAGGAAAAGCAAACAGAATAAGATGAACAATAAAACAAAATGTACAAAACAAATACATAAAGAATAAACACAATAAAAATAACAACATATTAATAAACTAGCAGATTAGCCCAGCGTTACTTGGGCAAAAAGTAATGATAGCAAAGATTATTATTATTATTAGATTATAGCCGATCTTACCTGTTTTTACTGGGTGCAAGCATTAGGTCTCCGCTCTTCCGAGACTAATTATGGGGGAATTTTGAAAAATCCCTTTTTAGTGTACATTTTCATGACGTACTCTATGTGCCAAATTTTAACTTTCAACTCCTAACCATTTGGGCTCTGCATTTATTATTATCATTATCAACCCATCTCAATTATAAGTGAACAACATACAAAACATATCTGCAGGCATATAAAAAAGGGATATGAATAATAGCAGTGACTGTAGTAACAGAATTTAAAGTTTAATACTAAAGAATTTTGTTTATTTGTTAACACCAAAAGACTGGGTTCTTTTCTGACATTACATAATTCACACCATATCCAATACCTTGAATCTTTATCTTTCTTGCAAAATTCAAGCAAATGTGCTAAGTAATTATAAAAATCAGACTTATATCTAGAACCAGATGTTCTAAATTCTAAAAGTGCTATCAAGTTACCTATTTTTGTGAGAAAAAGTTATACTAACTGTTTAAGCATATTTGTAAAGAATGGCTTTTCCAATATTGTATGTAGTAACAGAATTTCTATTAGCAAATTACTTAAATTGCCAATATTTTAAAAATATTTCTTGAATTATAGTCTTAGNAGTCTCTGGAAATTAGTGCGCACTGTGCATCATAACAGAAAAACGGATAAGTCGCTACCAGGAACTCGCTGTTCGAAGGGACTACGCCGACAACGTTCGCAATGCCATTGACAACATTAATTTTTATGCAATAATGTGAACAAAAATTTTATCAGAATTTATTAAGCCAAACTGTAAATTACCTCCAATAATAGTTGCTCTTAACACTTTTCAAAGTGATTAATAAAAAGTGGCACTGTAATAAATGTTCTATTTTAAGTAGAATAAATTTTCTTCTAGTAAGCAGACAGATTCAACTTCTGACTGTAAAGCAATTCGAACATCTGGTTTTAGTGAACCAATGTACTGTACTCAGAAAATAGAGGTTAAAGTTTAAGGACACTCACTCCTTTAAATGAATGTGGTCCCATATAAACAATTACTAATTTGCATATTGGCAAGTACATACATGATGCCAAGTTTGGCTCTTTTTCTACTCTTTTGAGGCCAAAAAAAAGAGTTGGCACATGAGCTACTTTTTGGCTATGTACACTGCCATTAACATAACTTAAACTCATACACCATACTCTGTATAATCAGGACCAGTCAGGATGTTGCTCAATAAAAGTGATGATTTTGTAAATGACAGCAAGATTAACAGTGATGTTCAGCCATCTAGCCTTCTTTCAAAGATGCAACAGATGCAGTAGACATCATATACTGCTATCTTTAGTTTGAAAGTAATGTGCATGAATAATTAAAGATGACATTTGTAATTGAAAAAAGAAAAACATTTTCTACTTTTTCAAACAAACAACAACAGAGGAAAAAAATCTGGGATTTCTTTTAGCTTTGTTTTGTTTAACCACTCTGATATACTGCTCATACTGAACACAGTCTCCTCCTCATTTTGTCTGATTTGAAAATCATTTAGAACATTAATTTGTATTAACTTACTTTGTAAGTAAATTTAATTTTTAACTTTGTTTAATAATTAATTCAAAATGTTATAATTCAGAAAATTCAATGACCTTAACTCCTAAATTATACAATCTTGATCCTAAACATTGCTTTATCAAAAATTTGCATTAACAAACTAACAACTGTTCCCCAGCAATTAGTATTAATGTGAATTGACTGTATAATCCATTTTAAAATACACTGTAATAAACAAAGTAAAAAGGAAAAAGCAATTTAAAATTTCTTACGAATTCTTTTTTACGGAAATTCTTTAATTCCTCAGAATCTTATTATTAATATTGTACTTATTAAGAATTTAATTAAATATGAATGATCAAATGGTAATATCAATACTAAAGCGGCATACAAATCAAAATACATTAATTTGACTATATGAATATACAATTTTCTTCCATTTGAAACCAATTTATTGTTTTTATACTTTATATTCTTTAAATGAGTAAAATGCATGAAATGATAGAACTGATTAAAAACTAAAACACTCTTTCATATTAAGGGATTTCAATTGTTATCATCTTTAGAAATAAATCTAAATTAGTTATGTTCAATTAGTCACAGCAGGAAAATATATTACAGTATATAAATATAAGATTCACATATCAAATATATATTCATTTTCAAATAAAATTTAATATAAAATTTACCTTTTCCAGATTTCGAACATACTGCAGCTGCTAACAACACCTAGAAAAAAATAAACAAACTTTAAAATTTGTCTATATGCAAAACAGTGTAATTTATTTTATAAAACACAAATTGTGTACTTGTTTTATTCATTAAAAAATAAAAAATTGCTACACAATTTTTTAAAAAGTCTTAAATTTCTTGAATACATAAAGTATAGATAATCAATAAATTTCAATTAAAAATACATAAATTATTGCTTAAATATTACTTAAACTATATAAATTATTACTTAAACTATTTTAAATTATTTGAAATAATAATAAAAAGAGTTATTTATTAGAATTAGATTATTTATATAAAAGAGTAAAATTTATGTTAACTCAATTTCATTTTCTCAAATAAACTATAAAAAAATTGTATGTATTTTAAAACAAAGAAATTACTCATAAACATATCTAGAAAAATGTCTAAGAATATGTTTTGATGATTATTATATTATATTAAATTTATTTACATATATAAATTTAAAAATATGTTGATAAAATTAACAATTTAAATTTATGAAAATATATTCTTAGAAAATATTTAATTTTAAGAAAATTCATTCAACAACTTTTATTAATTAAAGAAAAATACAAATATAAAATTATAAGAAAAAGTATAGTATTATTTAATGTAATTTGGACAAATGCCAGTTTAACAAAATATGATATTTGATAAAAGATATCTGCATGAAAAAATTTAATATAATTTATGCATATTTGATCTTTTAATCATGTTTCATATATTCTCTACAAAATAAATACAGCAGAACCACAATTATCCAAGTCTTGATTAACTGAGATTCTGCATTATCTGAGTAAGTGTAATAGAGTACTTTTCTTAAATTCATAAAAGCTTTCCTGTGAATGTACCAAGTGTGTAAATATTCTAGTATTTTTAACCTTGACTATCCAAAGTGAGAAGTTGAGAAGCTGGTGACATGAGATGAGTGCAAGCCACTTACTCACTTCTAACTGCACACCATCTATTTGGCTATTGTCATTGTGTTGCTACATCTTTAATATCACAATGAGCAGAAAAAGGAAGCATGTTGTGAAATCCTTTCAATCCAAAATAACTACAGTCATCCATTTTATCTGAAGTAGCATCAGTCTATATTAGCTTGAATAATCAAGCTATTATTGAATTTTTAAAATGATGGTTAACAGTTCAAACTAAAATTNCCAAGTATAATACAAGAGAAGAGAGAAGGCATAAGAATGACATCCAACACACACACTATCCACGAAATATAGTTTAAATTGAATTAGAACCAGAATCCCTGGTGGCAACAGGCCATCTTACACGTCATCATCTAGACAACATTACTTATTTAGAATATATATAGATAAAATCAAATATGATTGTATAGAAATTGATTTCTATACAATCATATTTGATTTTAGAGGCCATCTTTCTGATGATAATATTATACTTGAAGTACTCAAAATACAGCTTGTTTTTCACATTTTGCACTTCAATTGTATTAAATCCTATAAAGCATTTTCATTGAAATTTTATTTTAGTGATGTTTTCTCTTTTGTAGATCTTTTTTTAAATAAAAAGATTTCCAAGCAATTCTGAATGATATGAAATTCTATTTACTTAATACAAAACATATTTATTACTTAATTATTCTATAATAATAATAATTCTTATTATTATTAATCTTTTATCAGAAGCATGACGTATTTTCACATGATTAGGTCCATGTCAAAAATTTCATAACACATCATTATTTGCAAACTATATTACACTGTTTCCAAATTAACATTCAGTTATAGTGTATTAATTAAGATATAAAACAATTATAGAATTGTAAATAAAATATTTTTATTCAGGAAATAATCTGTGCTTTATATTAAAATTATTTGAAAAAGTATACTGATAAAACATAATTACAATTTAGTCATCAATATCATCTTGTCAATGACATTCTGAACACAAAATCTGGATTATTGAATGTTACTTAATGTAAACAATTTACATTTACTGCATTGCTCTGAAGCAGAATTTATTATTTTCTGTAATAAACACAAGTAACATTGACCTTATTTATATACCACTCACCAAATAAACCATCATCATTTCATAACAAAATTCTTACTACAAGTAGTAAGAATTTTTTAGGTACAGTATATTAACAATTACCCAGTACATTATGAGCAGTCTTTGATATAGGAACTTCATAATTTTTTCTTAAAAATGATACATCACTCAATACACATTTCAATTTTGCTCATACAATTAAGTGCTCCTTGATTAATGCAAGTGAAATATTTTTCAAAGAACTCTTCTAATTTTTTGAAGGTCTACTGGTTTTGCAAATGAACAAAGTATCTGAACATTTGTTCCTGCAATCATGTTCAGAAGACTAAAATATTACATAAGGCTTTTATAATTTGAGAAACATATGTTGTGCAAATCTAGTAAATTGTGTTTTCTGCTTTAATTGCATTATAATCCATAATGATTCAGTATTAATTAGTAATAATATCAATTTCTGTTTTATAGTGTAACAATGAAAATAAAATTACACTTTTATTTCTGTGGAAAACAAACAAAATCAAAGATTTATTTTTATGAATCTAAATAATTGTGCTCTTTTTTTGCGGCAAAAATTCTTATGGAATTTCTTTCTTATTTTTCTTCAGAGAGTTATGTTCTTTTTCAGTTAATAATCAGCCAAAGAAACACATATATAATAGTTGTCTGTAGTATATTTCAAAATGATAAATGTAGAACTTCTTAGCATCACATAAGGTATGCATTTTAATACTGTAGCTTGCTGGTTTACTTGGAATATTCTGAATCCATTGGCAGTGACCTCTGAACAAATGTAACATCTCATTGATAGTAGTAAATTTAGACATAATGTAAGAACTAGTGTTGTAACGAATAGTATATTCGGCCTCAGGCTGAATACCGAATATTCGGCCAGGAGCGTGGCCGAATAGCCGAATATTCGGCCAAACTATTCGGCTTGATTAACGCACGTACGAAAATTGGTGCGCAAACCGCATTATGGCAAGGATCCTGCTCTCTATTAGCCCGCTGTCACTACGCTTNATAAACTTTTTATAATATTAATTATTATAAAATGGTAAAAAGCTTAATTTTGAAGTTATAGGTAATTTATAAAAAAATGTAAATGCTAATAACGAGTAAAAATCTCATTAAATCCGGCAACGTTCGAGATATAAAAAGTGACCCCCACCTCTATCTTCTCAACTGTTTGACCTTTAACTACCAAAATTTAGTAACCTCACTTTCCCTAATACACAAATCGCCTTGTAAAATTTCATAAATTTGCATAAAACGCCAGAGAAGTTATTAAGCTTGAAAATAGGTGATCAAAATCGGGCCACTCATGCACTTTTCCACACACAACATCCATAATACAAAAAATTTTCAAATTTTGTAGGCATTTCTTGACGTTTCAAGATCTCCGATTCCAAAAATGTATAAATCTTTAGAGGGGGTCAATTTTGACTGATTTCCATACTTTCTCTTTTATATATAACAGCCGGGATAGTAAAAATTTGTTGATGGGGAGAAGGTAAATAAACGTGATGCAACCATTAACATAGTTTTGTTCATTTTACCTAAAATTATTCTAAGTTATATGCTAAAAAGTTACTAAAACAAACATAAAACGGTATGATAAAGCGCAGAAAATATTAAAGATTTGAAATAAAGAAATCACAACCGCCATTAAAATAGCAAAAACTGGAGAATTGATGATGATAAATCAGTTAAAAGTGTAGATATAGTTTATCGATATTCTCCGATCAAATTCATGATGTTGATTGATACAGGGCACGCAGTAAAATAATAAAAAAGTTGTGCAGAAGCGGCATTGGTATTTGTGACACGTAATTCGCAGAAATGGAAACAATCGCATTGGGGAAAATAATGTGAAAATGCTGGTTTTCCTTCAATTGCAGCGAGAATCCACATATATCCCTGTCACGAATACTATGTTCTGACTGTTCACAAATTTCTCACAGATGTCTTAGACACGTATCGACATTTTTCGAATCAATCATTCTAAATGTAAATTTAAAGTATCTCCATATAAAATATTAAAAATTCATTTATAAAACGAAATAATTTTTTTCATATAAAATTAAACAACATCATTTTTACTATCCTGGTTGTTATACTGTATATAACACTAGCTGTTACCCGCGACTTCACCCGCGGAGGTTTTGCAAGCAAACCCCATTTATATTCAGTATTTCAACAACCATAGTAATTGTTATATAACACCTACCGCCGAGAATGATGAGAATTGCTGAGAATCAAACGAACTATTTTCAATTTGATCAATTTTCTGGAACGTTNCCCTCAGATGTGCGAGGATTCTCCAACGATAGACGTGTACATGTGCTGATCTTTGTAATTATAAATTGTGAATACATGTGACTAATATTATTTTCTTTTTTATTTTGTGCATGTTACAAGTTATAAATAAATATAAACAAACAACACTAACTCAATAAAATTAAATCTAAATAACAAAATGATTAATTTACTGTGTTTTTGTTATTTATTACTCCTGCTTTTAGGTATTCGGTATTCGGCCGAATAGTGATTAAATATTCGGTATTCGGCCGAATAGTGATTAAATATTCGGTATTCGGCCGAATAGTGAAAAAAAAGCCGAATAGGCCAAATACCAAATAGTAACTGAATATTCGTTACATCACTAGTAAGAACAGCTATTTTTAATAAACAATCAAAAAAGGTACATATGGCAGCTAAGTTAATGTCTGACATTTTTCCTTGTTGTCAAATTGTCAAATCATAAACTAAATGTTACAAACAAAAATTATAACACACAATAGATCTAGTAATTTCTATTCCAATACCATCAGTTGTACAAAGTTCAAAAATGTGTCTGGTTTGATAGGCTAATTTGTTTTTTATACTTACAACATGATCCTTTAATCCAGGAAGCACTTTTATTATGTGAATAATTGCATCAAACTACTATCAAATTGAATTTACTAAAGAGATATTCTAAACTTTAGATTCTTTTATAATTTGCTTTGGCTATTCATTGATACTAATTTAATCAGTCTTTCTGATAATTAGAATGTCTATTTATGTTAAACTTCAATTATTTTGAAGGAAAAATAGTCAAAAATTTCATTTTGCATACATTTTAAATAATTCAAAGACTATTGTTTTAACTTTTTTCTTTTTTAATTCTAACTAATATGCAGTAATTAGTATAATTTAGAATCAAATCACATATTCACCTGCATACTAAATAAGACTAAAATTTTAAAATATTTTCTGTCACTTTCTCATAATCAGTTGGCTTGCTCTATAAATTCACCTCTCAACTGCAACTTAACATACAATAAATAATTTTTTCCCCCTCTATTGTTAACAATTTTCCTTTTTGACATCTTATTTTTTTTCCACTTAATATTGCAATTCACTTTCCAAATATAACAAAAAGAAAAATATTAGAAAGTTTTTAACATGTCAAATCTTATTAAAGATGTTTGAAATTTCAAATTTAACAATATTTATTTAATTTTGCAAATTAAACAAATATTGTTAAATTTGAAAGTGTAATAAATGCATAAAATATTAACATGTTTGCAGTTAATCAATCAGTCCAATTTCAATATATTATAGCATTCAAATACATAACCAATAATTTGAGAAAAGTCACTCCTAAAATTGCATTGTGATACTTAATTTAACCAAATTTCCCATAAGAACTTAGTTCAAAACTACTTGCTTTGTCAAATTGCTGCTCAGTAGTGTTGTTTTGTACTAATTAGTTCTTATAGGATACTCATTAAACATATCTAATCCTATATATATAATATAGAGAAACAAAATTTAATCTAAATACATTTTATCTAGACAAGTGAATTTTTTATAAATTCACAATTTTATTTAACTAATGATCAATTTAGACCTCAATCTGTTTACAAGACAGTATTTCACCTTTAACTATTTGGTTTGTCATAATTATACCCAAGTATAATACAAGAGAAGAGAGAAGGCATAAGAATGACATCCAACACACACACTATCCACGAAATATAGTTTAAATTGAATTAGAACCAGAATCCCTGGTGGCAACAGGCCATCTTACACGTCATCATCTAGACAACATTACTTATTTAGAATATATTGAAACCATATTTTTAAATTATATACAGTCGACCCCCTATAGCACTGTTGATTATTCCGTTTTATACGAATTCCATGTTGTACGAGTCATTTAAATTTTACAAATATGTGTGCCGGGCTGTGAACAGCTCATGTATTTGTAAAATCAAAATGATTCGTACAACATGGTATTCATATAAAACGGAATAATCAGCAGTGTTATAGGGGGGTCGACATTTCAAGAATGTATCACACAATATGTTATCTCACCATTTTTATGTAATAAATTCATTTCCTAGACTTCTTGAAGATAAAATTTACTCAAAAGATTGTATTTTATTTCTTGTTATACATAATTTAATAAGCTTGAAACTGATTAATTATTTTAAAAAAAGCATGTGATGATATAAACACAATAAGTGTAATCTGTAACAACTGAAATTAATAATTGCTATTATTAAAAATAACACAAAACAATTCGAAAAATTTCAATTTCCAAAATTTGTAAAGGTTTAAATTAAATAATTTTTATGTTAAATGAATACAATTATTCTTACATGAAAATAATAATTTTCTGTAGTTTATTTATTAATTACGCATAAATTACGTTTAATGCATTCATTTTTATGATTTTGGTTATTTAAATTTTTAAAATTTCAAATAATTCTTACCATATTTATAGAATATTTCAAATAAATACAATCCCCAACAAAATAGTAAAATCAAATGACACGTCTCTTAAAAGATGGCGTCTTCGTCTAAATATTGCCGACTTGTAAAAAAATTAGCCAAAATATCTCCAGAATCATATTTTACAACTTTTTTATTAAATAATATTTTAATCATATTTTCGAATGTGTTAAATATTTTACTAAGTTAAAAAAGTAAACGTAACGAATTTAAGAAGAAAATGTGACATGTGACGTCAACGATCCGGATCGGATTTG